CAGGAACGAAGGTAAATTCTCTACTCTTAAAGGTGATAAAATCCAAATTGAAAACAAACTTTATCGACTGAACGACACTGAAGATGAATTAGTTCTGTTAAAACATTCCCTCTTCGATCTCCTAATACTGACTCTAACAAATAGGGCGTGGTCAAGGCCCACGTGCAGTAACTAAGTCCTGACTGCTGTTCTGTGGAATGTAGAAGGTCTAAAGAAGAAAATTTGCCGGGAACATATCATCAACTTTCTGAAAAAATTCACCTTTATATCTCTCGTGGAGACGTGGTCAGATGAAAGTGAGGAGTTATTGTTTCAAGGATATACAGTGTTTGGGAAGTGAAGACAAAACATGCCAGCGCCATTAGAAATTCGGGTGGAATAACTGTATTAATCGCCGACACTGTCTCAGAATTTGTGTCATTAATCTCGACGGAAAGTAACAACATTCTATGGTTACGTGTGCGCGTGTACCAGTTTATCATTTTTCCATATTTATGGGTGTTGTTTACTATTCTCCTGCAAGGTCCAGTGCACATGCTGATGAAGCTATTTTTACTCTTTTGGAAGATGATGTAAACAAATTCAGATCAAATGAACCTGATTGTAGAATTATAATTCAAGGTGATTTGAATGCACGCACTGGGAATGGATGTTACAAAGATTATATTGTTAATGATGACCCGAGGTATCTCCCGATTGATGATGACATAGATTATATAACCGACGACGCCATCGAACCACGTGCATCACGTGACACTGTGATCAACAAACGTGGCTATGCCCTATTGAACTTCTGCAAAACATTGGACCTGAGAATATGTAACGGCCGTCTATTTCATGATAAAGGTAAAGGTAACATAACATGTTTTGCCAATAATGGACAAAGTGTTGTTGACTATGTGCTTTGTTCGGGACAATGCTTTTGAACTTTTTTGATGATTTTAAAGTGTCCGATGAAGTTGAGTCGACTCATCTGCCAATAACATTTTCGTTTTCATTGACACTGAATAATAATGAACGTTTCCACAATCTTTCATTTAAAACTAGATACCTGCACAACTGGGATGTATTACCACCCGATGTTATAAACCAGTTTCATTCCTTTATTGATAACGGTGATGTTCAAGAGGCCTCGTTACTTTTTAATACGGTTATGCAATCATGTGCCAGTTTCTGTAAATCTCGTGTATTGTCGACAAATAATGTTCCAAAGGGAGACAGCTGGTATGACGGTGAATGCAAGAGTGCACGTGATACCGCTCGGCGCCTTCTGCGTGCATTTCAAGCAAGTAACTGTAAATCTGATAGACAACGTTATGTTGAGTCTGTGTCACACTATAAACAGTTGTGTGCTGTGAAACTGTCTTCATCATTTTCAGATTACACACATAAACTTAGTAACGCACTCTCTACTAAAAACAGTAAATTATTCTGGAGAACTGTGAAATCGAAATCATCATTTGTAAACAATAATATTACACCATTTGACTGGATGAATCATTTTAAGAATGTTTTTCAGTCTTCCTATTGTTCAGCCGATGAAGAACACTTCTATATTTTTGTCAATCATTTTGTTGATTCAATCAGTGATAGACTTATTGATTCATCTGTGGACAATGACTATTTGGATAAAGAAATATCCTACCAAGAAATAATTAATGCTATTCATGAAATGCATAATGGAAAAGCACCAGGACTCAGTGGCATTCCAATTGAATTTTTTAAAAATGCACCTCATCATTGTATTGATTTATTGAAATCTCTTTTCAATAGCATTTTGTCTACAGGTATTTATCCATCTCAGTGGACGTATGGAGTTATAATTCCTTTGTATAAGAAAGGTAAAACTGATTGCCCTGGGAATTATAGACCTATTACACTGCTTGAAGTAACTGGTAAAATATTTTGTAAAATTATCAACAACAGGTTAAACTCTTGGGCTGAAAGGGAAGAATTCTTCGTTGACGAACAAGCTGGGTTCAAGTATGGTTTCCAAACACATGATAATATATTTATTCTTAATGCTATAATTGATAAATATCTTTCACTTTACAAAGGTCGCCTCTATTGTGCATTTATTGACTTGAAGGCCGCTTTTGACTCAGTCGATAGGTGTGGTCTCCTTTACAAACTGTGGCTTGGCAACGTGAAAGGTAATACCTACAGGCTATTGAAAAATATGTACCAAAATGTTAAAGCTTGTGTGTCGATGAGAGATGGTTACACACCGTTTTTTGATTGTTTATCAGGAGTTCGTCAGGGATGCCAGTTATCTCCCTTTCTTTTCCTTCTTTGTCAACGATATTGTTGATTGTCTATCTGCTGATGGTCAGAGGGGTATCAATCTAGACTTAGTTGAGCTGTTCATCCTATTGTTTGCTGATGATATTGCGCTTTTTGACTTTACAGTTATAGGTCTGCAAAAGAGGCTAGACAAGCTAGTTTCGTATTGCAACAAGTGGAAATTGAAAATAAATCTTGATAAAAGTAAAGTTATTGTATTCAGGAAGGCTGGTCGACTAAGACATTATGAAAAGTTCCATTTGAATGGACAGTTGCTTGAAATTGTCGCATCATATAAATACTTGGGTGTTCACTTCTCTTCCTCTGGATCATGGTATATTACACAGAAAACTTTGGCTGACCAAGCATGGAAGGTGTTGAATATTTTCAAATCATCGGTTAAGAATTTTTATAATCTACCAATTAATGTTTTGCTCCACATATTTGATGTCAAGGTTCTGCCATTGTTACTATACGGAAGTGAAGTCTGGGGTTTCCACCCGTCGCCATCTGTATTGAATGTACACGATAGGTTCTGTAAACAGGTTTTGGGTCTCTCAAGATACACGCCAAATATTGCAGCTCGTGCTGAGATTGGTCGTCATTCATTAAAGGTAAATCAGTACATTAAGATTGTTAAATATTGGGTTCGCCTCCTGTCTCAAGTTGAGAATGTAATCTTAAATAAGGTATATGAGTATCAGTATTGTCTTGCTGAAAAAGGTATAGATTGTTGGGCTTTTAAGGTGAAATCTCTTTTGTACAGTTATGGTTTTGGCAATGTGTGGGCCAGTCAAAGTGTTGGAAATATTTCTACCTTCATATCATTATTTAAGCAAAGATTGATATAGATAACCAGTTGTGGTCATCTCGTATTATACTTGTTTCGAAATTGGATTTTTATCGCAGGCTCAAAGAAGGTATAGCTTTCGAGTTCTATATCGATAGTGTTAGTGTAAAACAGTTTCGAATCTTCTTAAGTAGATTTCGTTGATGATAGAGTACGGTAGACATTTAGGTCTTAAAAGGGAGGATCGCCTGTGCCCGCTTTGTATCATACCTAACATAGAAAATGAATATCACTTTTGCCTGGAATGCCCTTTTTATGGGAAATTAAGAAATGATATCCTCCCTAAATATTATCACATATATCCATCTGAAGTGAAATTAGCCCGGTTGTTTACATCAAAGAATACTTATACTATAAATTGTCTTGCAAAATATCTATTCTTTGCCATGAAAAAACGAAATAAATTTCTTTCAGCCTTCGTACCCACAAATGTATAATTGTGCAGCTCTCATGATGTTGTACGGTGCTCCAATAATTGTATATTCTGTACACCTGATGTATTATGGGCCTGTGGCCCCTTTACTGAATAAAACTCTCTCTCTCAATAACAGTAAAAACGACATTTCGGTTTGTGCTTCTGATAATGAAGTATGTACATCTATCCATATCCTTAAACGCCTTTCTAGTATAGATGAAAAAGTTTCCCAATACTGTCCAGTAGTGAAATGCCTCTGTCGTTTGATGGGTTACTTTTTGATCCAGTGTTATACTATTAGCCTGATTCCTTGCTTCTGGGAATACACCGGTATCAAATTTTCTTCTCGTTCCAATTCAGGATTTAGCAGTTCTCTAAAATATGAAACCGTTCTTCGGGTGTAATATCCTCTTGATTGCTCATGGGGTCCAATGCGTTTTAACAGTACTCCAAAAAGATTTACAGTCACCATATTTGGCCGCAAGGTTTATCTTGCAACACAAATAATTTTCAGTTCTCTTCCGGTCACAACACGTCTTGAATTTCGATTCGGCAGATATATACTGCTGAAGATTAAAATCAGTCTCGTTGTTTCTAAAATGATTTATCATTTTATATTTCTCCGTCTTCGTTCTTCAGCACTCAGTCTCAAACCATGGTGGTTGTTCCCTTGGCCCTACGCTTCATCTGGTTATATCAGTTACATTGCATAACAGAACATAATAACATCTGATAAATTAACCCAACAGGGTTATAAAATCAATTAACATTTGTTGCACTGTTGCACTTCTCCAAGACAGCAGATAGTCAATTACTTCCGTTTCTAGTAAATTACATTTAGGTATTTTTGTTAAAGTGACCTCGCAGTATGCTGGCTTATGATCTACAGGAACAGGTGTATTAATGCCGGACAGTGTAGCAACTAGTGGTATATGATCTGACTCTGACCTTGACATTACTTCCATGTTTTTAATATTGACAAATAATTCACTCGAGATGATAACATAGTCCACATCACTACAGCCTGAACGTGAAAGAAATGTGTAGTTACTGGGTGTCGCTCACAGCACGGCCATTTACAATGTGTATGTTAAGATGCTTACAGATTTCAAGTAAATAACGACCATAGTTATTGCGAATTGCATCACATGTTGCGCGGGAATGCGTAAAATCATCTGTACTGAGAATCGCAGGGGAGATAACCAAGAGAGTCACCAATCAGATAAACAAGTTCGTTATCAGTCCTTGAGTTAAACCCCCCACAAGCTTGGTTTGGTCGCCAGAGTCATATATGATTTGCAATAAACGACTTTCTAATGTATCAATTTCATTTTCTTCCCTGTTCACATATGTCGGTGATCTTGCAGGGCGGATTTACAGAAATCCAACAATAACGGGATCTGTAAATGGGGGTTTCCCATTTTGAATATATATGTATTGTAAACTGATGTTTTATGCAGACACACATTCCCCCAGAATACCTACCACGCAGTGATAATCGCCTTGCATTCTAAACACGTTTAGAATCAGAACACATGGTTTCTAACATACAGTTTGGCACAGTTTGATCTCATGCAAAAAGTGTGCTTTGGTCCTATAACGAAGCACCTCAGAATTACGTATAACTTCTTTTAATGATTTGGAAAAATTCAAATAGTTGGACATTCATCACAGAGCAACAAACTCTCCTTCTGAGAAAAACCTTAATACCTAAACATTGTATGACTGTGAGAAATGGTTTCAAAATTCTTGATCAGAAAATTGTACGTATTTGTACTCGAAAGGGAGATATTTGGATTTCCACAATATGAGAAATATCGATGTTGTCCATTGATCGTTTTGTAAATATAATTATATGATCGTTTTCAGTTGCCAAATCTTGCCATCGATTGTGTTCTCAATACAAATTGTACTTTGAGACGCTTAACCAGAATACACGTTAGCTTTGCTACCACGGACTCCTAGCCCCGTAACCTTGAAGACTGAACCGGCCAAGGGCGTTTTCGCCATTTCTGCTGGGGTCATCAAAACTGCCGATGATGTGACGTAGAGGTCGGTGAAGTCCTTCCCGCCGAAACAACACGACGTGATCTTTTCGCACGGGAACTTAACAGCTCGGATCACGGTTCCTAGACGAACGAAATATTAATCCATTTCAACTAAACTCTTTGCAAAACTATATATTGCTTGTTACTATTGTAATGTGTAGAATGACGATGTTTCGACATAGATTCTAATGTCGAAATGTATGTCGTTGTCTATGTCACAGAATAAAGAAGTTGTATATCCATAACATTATCATCAATGCAACTATATGGCGGTGATGTGTAAATAATTGAGTCTTTTACAGACAATCCTGTGATTAACTTTGCGAGCATCGAGCTCCAACAAGACAAGACAAGACTTGTTGAGACAAGACAAGACATAAATCCACCAAATCACCGAGTCTGGCTATTTGGACACATATGCTCATCCCTTAAGACAAGCTTGAATAGCTCGAGACCGGACTTCATCGGAATGACTTTGTATGGGTAATGGTCATAGCACGTATGGCCATGTCAGAATAAGTTTAACATGTCAACATCTCATCAGTGTTCCAGGGTTTTATTTAAGAGGTAGTGGCGAACTTTCAAATATGTGTTGAATATAAACTGGAAGCCATTAAAAACCCAATTGTTATTTGTTGTCCTGGAGCTTACAAGAGTTCTATTGAAGATTTCTTTCCTGCAATACAGAGGATGTAGGGATAAAAGGCTGTCATTCTGGCCCATTTCGAGTTCGAGTCCCCGAGCATTCCTCTCACATGAACGTTGATGCTCAAAACTGAACCTTTGACATTTCTCGTAAACAAAACTACATTCATGCAACACGTCGTGCACGTGCATTACCTGCACAAGGAATTGTGAAACACAGTCACTATGAGAAAATGCCACGCTTGACACAAGACAAACGGAACCAGGCTATCGGTATGGTCAGTCAAGGTGCTTAAGATGTGATGATTGACAGGCACTTTATTGTGCCTCCATTCACTGTTGGTTGACTCCGGGTCACCGAAAGTGTTGCTGATCGCCACTTGTGCCACCAAGGACAGTTGCTGAATGGACACATTGAACTGTTCCTGAGAAATTTGTGTTTTTCAATGCCAGTTACATTTATATATGTTGACATTTGTGTGAGTAAAGAAAGTATGAATGTCAAGTTGCGTTTTTAATGGCTTTCAGTATATAATTCAATAGCCTGCACGTTAGTGGTTCATCATCAGACAAACAGGAGTAACTGCGAACTCCAATAAAAACATGCATAAATGATATACATAACTCATTTATCTACTTCCGGGCTTGTGGTAGAAAAAATAAATAAATTGTTTCTTCCCATTCCGGTAGATAACGCAAAGTGAGATCGAATTATATTTTGCCGATTCACTTGTTGTTTGTACCAGTGTTTTAAATGTCGCCCACATGTTCCAGATATACACCCACTTACCAGTGTGTGGGTCGATTTGTAGGATTTCCCCGCCCTCGTAGCTGGCCACCCACAGTTTTCCGTCAGTATCAATGGTCATTCCGTCCGGAATTGCTTGGGCCGGGATTTCCGGAAATCTGCTGAAATTAGTTACACCTCTCTTGTTGCCTGAAGAAAACGTTAGCTTGAAAGAAAATGTGTTTGTACGAAACCTCTGAACTATCAATTCTATGCCTAGACAGGAGGCATCCTGATTCACCCTTGGGGTGACGTGGAAGTGGATTATGTTGCCATGAATCAACTGCACAATGATCTCGCACACGTTCAGTAATTTCTACATATCTGTTTAACATCACTTGGCAGCTAGGTTACTGCAGAATCCGAAATACATTACACAAATAAAGAACATGTAGCAGAGGGTATTTTTATTACCAGTTGTATACTTGAAATTTTAAATGAAGTGAGTGAGTGAGATGGGTTTTACGCCGCTTTTAGCAATATTCCAGCAATATCACGGCGGGGGACACCAGAAATGGTCTTCACACATTGTACCCATATAGGTAATCGAACCCGGGTCTTAGCGTGACGAGCGAGCGCTTTAACCACTAGGATACCCCACCACCCCTTTAAATTAAGTGCAAAGATTAATTCCACAAAAATATCTTGCGATATCAGATAGTGATACAAAACAGAACAACACAACTTAACACCACCTCAAACCCGTTTTCACCCGAAGCATATTTCATGCGCTAGTGTTGGAGAACGCACAAGGAAGAACATATGCCGTGGTTACTTACTGATACTCCCAGCAGTGAGGTCAAAGTCGAAGGCCCACACCTGCCTGGGTATGGTGTCGATGTAGTACATGACGCTGTTGTCGCCAGTCCAAGCCATGCCGTTACTGCTAGTGATCTTACTGAGGCGTTTTTTTACGCTCATATCGACCTCCAGACTGTACAAAGAACCCTGTTCCTTTAGCCAGTTGGCAGGGTCGATCCCGATGGTGTTGAAAGCAGACCCTGTGTTGAAACTAAAGTAGTTATTCCTGAAGATGTTGTCAATTACCTTTGTAGTGGAATTTGCTATAAAGTAGAGAGATATCTGTAGCTCGACCGACTCGACTTCGCAAATTAAGTGACAGGTGGGCGATCTCGAATTGAGTCGACCTTACAACGATCTCGTAGGGTCCTGTACTACCTTCAGGCGGCAAAGTCGAGTAGACCTATATTCGACCAGCTCGACGTGTATGTTTCGTGTTTTAAATGGCGAAATTTAACTTCTAGTTGTCGATTTCTTGGCTTTGATATTGCCAACGCGATGTCGCCATTCAACTGAATATTGATGTTAAAAATCTCAGCTTTAACTGCAGTGCTATATATTGGCTAAGATCTGAATAATCTGTGTGACATATATCGAGGGAACAGCCCCCAGAGCTGGAACAAAAGATAGCAAATCAAAGTGTATTTCAACATGCTCGTATAATCTGGATCTCCGTGTTGCAAGAATTTCTGCATTAAGTTAATAATTGTCACAATGTACTTTTCCAAGGACTGTTTCTAAAACAATATCCAGCCCATCCAGAAATTAGCTCTGGACTGACTCGATATCCTGGAGCCATGTTTCTGAGACTGTCGAACGAAAGCCCGAATTCAGTCGCAGACACGATTTCAGCCAGTGGTTTCCTTGGGCCACACTCGATCAACTACAATACACGTTGACAAACTGGAACTTTGATAACTGGATTCTCGCCAACTCAACAAGAGACACAAGAACGGGAACCTACCTATCCAGAGTCTTCCGGAAGCATCAGCTTTGCCGTCATTCAGGAAATTGGTGTCGGCCTCGACCTTGGCAATGCTGGTGACCTTGCCACTGTCCCAGGAGTCCAAGAAGGCGAGGTCTGTCTTCTGGCTCACCACAAAGCCACCCTTCTGGCGCGGGATGATGGTGCTCAACGTAGCAGAGTCTGTTTCGAGTGAATGAAACATGATGACATGACAATACAAACATTGCGTATACCGAGGGACGTTAACAAGGTATATTGTGTATACTGTATTGGATTCCAAAACGTTATAACGCAAAAATGAACACTTTGATAGTAAGTGAGTGAAAGTGTGTGTACGCTGATTTTAGCAATATTCCTGCAATTTTACATCACAGGTCATGTGAAATGGGCCTCGCATATTATACCCATGTGGGGCATCGAACCAAGTCTTTGGGCATGACAAGGAACGGCTTAACCACAGGGCTACCCCACCCGCTCATCGTCAGCAGCATCAACCACTGTATTGTTTGGTCAAGAGTGTCGTCTTGTAGCCGGGATATCGCTGAATGCGGCGTTAAATTCATAAACGTGGACACGAGCTGACTAATCTGACCCACTTCCAATGTTTATTTTGCTGTCCTTTCCCGTGACTGCGTTGTATCTGTGGACGTCATCAACGAACATGTCAACGTAGTACAGGCACTGTGTGGTGTCGTCCCAGTGGGGAGCCTCCCCATGCATAGTACTGTTCTTCACAACGACTTCGATTCTCTCAGACATTATCTGAAACAGGAAGCACAACTAGCAATATACATATGACGATTGAATAAATGATGATAGCGAAGAACAGATTGGCTCGAGCCACACCATCATGTCGCTTAGGATTCGGTTTGAGACAGCGCTTGGCATCCACTGAGGTATTGGACAGTCTCATTCAGTTCAGTACATACTCTACATGTTTCGATTGGGAAAGTTACTGGTCAGAAAATTTGGGAAAGTCAGCACCCAGAAAACCTTCTGTTGCAGCCGACTTCAATCAAGCGAAGACCTCTGCCGGCTTGCCCTTCTCACCACAGATATACCCAATTCAGCGGTCGCACAGAAAACCCTCCCATAGTGAAATTGCGCTTGTGTCGATTTGGTTTATGTGAATTTTTCATTAATTTTGTATCATTATTTTGTTTACGATTTAAATAGATGAATGCAGCAAGGAGGGTTCGGGTGATCATGACACACCCGGGCTGGTGAAGTTCATCATCAGCTCAGGCCCCTGCCCTCTTCACACGCAGCCCAGACAGCGACTTCTCACTGGAAGCACTGTATAGTTGAACCCACCAGCAACCTTACGGAGAATATGTAGACTCCCCAACACTGCAGCTACCTGCATATTGAGTCTTAAAAGGACTGTGCTCCCGTGCACGCTTCTGATCTGTTGTCAGGAGAGCAGCACCTAGACAAATGGGGAGCCTGACGACAGTAAACTTGGGATGCAACATATTGTGATGTGGGTAAGCGCACGTGAAATCAAACATATTTGTTTCTTTTTGTTTCAGAACATTGTTGACTTATAACTAACTGACTCAGTGAATTTCTATCGGTTCTTCGCAAACGGAACCATTTAATTTCGTCACGTCATAGTCATCAGAAAGGTTTACAGGATGTCGTAACAGTGGAAACCAGTGCTGCATGTACTCACCGGAATGTGTCCTGTCCTTAATAACTACGGGTAGGTTGTATCAGTGCACCTAGATATACCTGTCCCTCGGTTTCTGATCTTTGAACTGATAATTGTTGAAGCAGAAGCGTGATGTACAGTTATTGCTCCCCGAGTTGTTGTTTGTAGCCTGTTTGCGTAGGCGAGCTCGGACATGTGTCCCTTGATATATACATGTAATCTGAAGTAAGCAAACCTACCTCCCGAAACCACTGACGATGATACCTGACGAGAATGAAATAACAAATCATTTATGTGGGACTAGGATTAGAGCTCGGTGACCCAGTTTGACGCCGGGCTTGTAGGGCAGCCATCTTTCCTAAAATAAACATTGATCGTATAGAGTTATTGGCCTTTTTGCTTCACTATGTGTATTCAGAAAGGAACACTTGTCAACTTAACTCTGTCGGTTACAAAATGACAGTGTATTGACGGCGTGGACGAGTATTTCACTGCATCAGATACTTCGGGTAAAGACTGAGAACAGCAGGTTCGTGCGTTCTGGGAGGCGATCAAATCTCTCTCCCCCCCATCTCACACCAAGCCCCCTCCCTAGCAGACAACAGGAAACGGCCAGTTTACGGCAAACACAGACGACATCAACGCAGATTACGACATCGAAATATAATTTTGTGAACTTGGAAATATAAAGTTCGCAAGAACTGAAAAGAAAATCTTTTGAACCGCGTAAGCGCTGTTTATGTTGAACGGTCAGTTTAGGGCGAACACAAGCGATATCAACGTGGATTACGACATCAAGATGCAATAACGTTTTGAACTCTCAAATATAAAGTTAGAAAATCTGTAACTTTAATAGTTTAGGGCAAAACTACTCAACAAATAGGTATTCAACGAAATCTTTTCAATAATGACCCTTACGCTAGTGTCTTCCCTGTGCAATAAATAGAAACCGTCCCCCATTTGATACTTAATGGTCAGCATGAGAAAAATCAACATATCAATAGGGGACACAGTCGGGACTGGTTACCCACTGCGTGACCTGCGTGTTTGTGTTTGATAGTTGCCAGGTTTTCCATTTCATTTCTAACAGGTTGACTTGTGACTGTTGTCCTTTTAGAGACACGCGCGTGCGTGTGTGAGCTTGGTTTAAGCCGATTTCAACCGCATTTTTATCAGCTGATTGGAAGGTTCGAGCCCCGGAGGACGTTCATTGGCAGCTAACTAACGGGATCAGCTGGTCAGGTTCGCTGCCTGATGCATGTTATAATATCCCAATGGCGTCTATTGATGCTCACTATGTCGATCACTGGATTGTCTCGTCTAGACTCGACTATTTCCAGGCTGTCGGCATATAGCTGTAGTGGTTTAGTGGGGTGTTAAACAGCAAACACTATCAAAGACATGACGTGATCGAACTTAAATATTGCTCGGGTTGCTCCGACGGGTTTACCCCGAAGTCATTCACTCACAGGTTTTTAATACATACACCCATTCATTCCCCGCGCAACCCCCTGCACACAACAAAAGGAGAACCACGCACCTGCCGAGGACAGTTGTGTGAATAGAAGTATGAGAATCAGCATAGGTTTGAATAGTACCTGTAATGGGTCTTTTGTGTCATGCCCGACCATACATGTCGAAATATTTCCAGAGTCTTCAAAGCGCCGCAGTTATGGATCATTTGTCAGTAATAGATGTATTCAAATGGCTTGCCACTCATGTGAGTATATGGTATGAGAGTTTGTTCATACTCTCTGATTGAACAGGAACTAATATCTGATATTAAAGAGACGGTACCACTCAGTCCATCAATCAGCTTAGTTCAGTATAGGGCCTTGGGCTGGGGTACAAAAGTGTTCGTTTACATATATATTGATATGAGAGCTAGTGGCCGTTTACGATGTTACATGTATGTAGTACAGTTACAATCAAGTTTATTTAACCCACTGTGTGCAGATGCCACCATTTGCAGCTTGGACCTCGTTCCCTTGTAAGTGAGAATCATTTCGTGACTCTGGTGATCAGAACTGAAGCCTTCGGGGATATTCAAGGTACACTCACCCAACGCCATTCTTCGTTCTTGGTCATCTTCTCAATGTAAGTACTGAACAGTCGATATGTTGCTACTTTGTGCGTCCTTGAAAAATGTGTATACTGGATAGAATCAGCATTCCTGGGTGGGTGCCACCTGTGGAGCTATAGCAATATCCGGCATTTTTGAGTGACCCAGTTATGTCATTTTCACCAGAATCATTTCCGCCAAACAGGCTTATAGTTTCTATCAGTGACACTATGCATGGATTACCCACACTAACATGAGTGAATACTGACCAAAGGTGTCGACTATACGCCCTTTACCTGCGACAAAGTACACTTTTTGTCTTACGTCATAATGTGGGGACGTCATGTCGCTGTTATAATGACCTCCCCCTGTCATTTGAAATATCCTTTGTAATAATGTTTTCTGTTAATCAAGATGTCGCAGGCATCCTCGTGCTTTAGTTATAGTAGTATTTCAGGGTGAACTGTACTTTATTTCACAATACATACAGGTGGGGCAAATAATATTGGTTTAAAGTATTATAGGTATGACATAATTTAATAACATTATTGTACCGTATCGGAGCAAGGAGTACCACCAATGTCAGATTTCTTTAATAATTATTCTTTTTTCTCAGAGTTGACGTCATTACGATGACTGATACAGACACAGGACCGCCATGTGGCAGAAGAACAACAGATGGCAACTGCACCAATCCGGGGTCTCTGGACGATGGAGTGGATGCAGTTGATGCTGATCACAGGATACACACGGCGTTATATCTGACATCAGCCCAAGAATCTCCACCTGCGATGCACAACAGCAGCGCTATCATTATTATTGATGATGACAAACAGACGCCATTACACCTGGCATCTTCCAGGGGAGACAGGAACGCAATTCAGAAGTTGCTGGATGATGACGCTGATGTCAACGCACTGAACGCGTCCAAACAGACACCCTTACACGTTGCGATACGCAGGGGAGATAGTGCCAGGGTGAAGATGTTGCTGAGCAGTAAAGCCGATGTCAATGCTGTTGACTGCTACCTTCAGACGCCGTTGCATCTAGCGACAGAGAATGATGGCGGAACTACCACTCTTGCGATGTTGCTGGATGGTGGAGCTGATGTCGGTGCTGTTGATGATAATGGTCAAACGCCATTACACGTGGCCGCGGCAAATCTTGGAGGAACTGAAGCTGTGCGGATGTTGTTGAAATACGACGCTTCAGTAGATGCAGTAGATGCCCACAGACAGACGCCGATGCATCTCGCTGCATCCATAGGAACTATCCACTCCGTGCAGGTCTTGTTGGACAACAAATCTGACGTTGATGCTTATGATGAAAAGATGAGAACACCTTTACACCTGGCCGTCACCAGAGGGGACGCGAGCCTTGTCCAGATGTTGCTGTGTGGGAATGCCGACGTCAATGCAGTTGACGACATCGGGGAGACGCCGTTACACAAGGCAGTATCAAGAGGGGCACTTGACACTATTAAACTGCTTTTGAATAACAACGCTGATGTCAATTCTGTGGATGATTCGTTACAAACGCCATTACATTTGGCATCAGAGAAAGGGGACGCCGGTACCGCACAGCTGCTGTCGAAAAATGGAGCTGATGTAGACGCCGTCGACAACAATAACCAGACGCCGTTACACGTGGCCTCGAAATGGGGAGACACAGACACTGTTATCGTACTAGTGAAGAGCAACGCTGATGTCAACGCTATCGATAACCAACAACAGACGCCATTACACATTCTGGCATTTGAGGGAGAAGGTTCTACTGGCGTGCAGATGCTGCTGGATCACAAGGCTGACGTCAATGCCGTTGATGACTGCACCCAAACGCCGTTACACCTGGCGGCAAAAAGACAAGAAGGGATTAACGTCGTTCGGGCGTTGCTGAGTCGAAACGCCGACGTCAATGTTCGTGATTATAATGACCAGACGCCACTGCACTTGGCGGTGTTTTGGGAAAATAGGGACACAGTTAGGGTTTTGTTGGCGCACAATGCTGACGTTAATGCCGTTGACGAGAGCAATCAGACACCGTTACACATTGCAGTACAGAAGAGGGTTGATGTTGTTGAGATGTTGTTGAATCATGGTGCTGATGTCAGTGTCGTTGATGCAGATGGACACACTCCATTACAACTCATCGGAGAGAGGGATACCGATATTGTCAATGTTTTGTTGAAGCATATTGATGTCAACAGTACAAACACATTTAAATAAGAACAATGCCGATATTTTGTAAAATTTATGTAGATCTCAGTGGCGCCTATGCAAATACATGGGAGCATGCCTACGTTGTTAATAAATGAAAATATTGCATTGGTTGTGTTAAATGTATTTTGACGTCAAGGACACGGGTCCATGTACATGAGGCTATTGCACAGATAAGATTTATATGGTTGACTGTTTCCGTGATTGCTTTTTTATTTCATGTAAATATGAACAGGGTCTACATTATGTTCATGTAGATCTCCATGGTGCTACTTCAAGTACTTGGAACAGGGTCTACATTATGTTGATGTAGATCTCCATGGTGCCGCTTCAAGTAATGAGAACAGGGTCTACATTATGTTGATGTAGATCTCCATGGTGTTGCTTCAAGTAAGGGGAACAGGGATTACATTATGTTGATGTAGATCTCCATGGTGCTGCTTCAAGTAAGGGGAACAGGGATTACATTATGTTGATGTAGATCTCCATGGTGCTACTTCAAGTAAGGGGAACAGGGTCTACATTATGTTAACAAATTAAGATATTGCCTTCATTGTGTTAAATTTATGTCGATGCCATCCACGTCGATTCATGTAAATGAGGACATTGCTTAGATTAACTGAAAAATGGCGTTAATGTGATTTTGGTAAATATCCTATACTAGGAATAAATGTTGTAATTAGCGAGCCTTTGTGAGTGTTTATGTCAGTGTTTCTGCTCTATGCAGGAGATGTTTCACCCGAAAAGACACTTAAGTGATAACCAGTTTATTATATAATGTGATTCTTTAATTCTAGAACCCTGTCTTAGCCTCCACACACAGTACTTACACATTGCAAGTTTGCATGGAATGCACACATTCGTATATATGACGTCACAGGTCAGTGATTTGTCACTCGGGCAGTGCCGACAGTTGATATTGTTCCATCTGAAACCGTTTCAATCTTCCCCTATCAAGATCTTGTCCTGTTAGCAGTCATAACATCAAGTGACATACTTAACCACAGTTTAATTGTGCTCCTGGTCGAAAATGTTCAATTGTTTCAGAGTATCCCCTACTATTTCATGAACAACATACTTTGTTGAGTCCAGAAAAGGTGGCTGGGTGATTTGAATTATGAACACCAGACAAATACCCCTTCAACCCTTCAGTGTGTCTAGTGACAGATGAGGTGCCTGGCGTCTCTCGGCGTCTCCATATCTATTTCATCAGTTTACGTCAATTTGCCGATATAAAAAGGAAAATCCACCGCTTGTTTTACCTGACTAGACAATCTAGCTGTGCGACGTCGTTTCAAACTCTATATACTTAAACAGTGTGTGTGCCCCTGGTGTACGAGTCGACAGACTGGGACACTTTCTTCTGCAGTGAGTGAGTTTGGTTTTACGCCACATTTAGCAATATTCCAGCAATATCACGGCGGGGGACACCAGAAGTGGGCTTCACACAGAGTACCCATGTGATGAATCGAATCCGGGTCTTCAGCTTGATGAGCGAACGCTTTAACCACTAGGCTACCCCACCGCCCTCCTTTGTCTGGATATCGGTTGGGGCTTTTCCAGCATAACACCCCGCGCTGACATAGACATGTGGGCTATTTTAAACGACAAGTTACTGGTCCATTGGTATTACGTGACACTTGTGATGTAGAACTCTATTTTTCTTGTCATCGTCAAGAATAGTAACTAGGTTATCATAAAATTATGATGACGCAACATTGCCGACGCAGTGATATTGGATAGATTTTGCTAAACGTAACCTCCTGTCAACAGTCAACTAGACTGGGTTAACATTATGCTGATGTCAGCCCCAGTATGACTATACAAGCGCAATAGTTGGAACAGTGAAACAAATGCACGCGCGGTACGTGATGAGCGTTAACTTAGACCAAGTACTCTACTTGTTCTCGGTGTTTCATTTGATGTGCATATACACAGACCAGTACTAGCGATCTGAAACTAGGTTCATCATGCAGTTTCCTTTCTATTGGTACGATTTACAATTAACACATAAGTTTTCAAAGTGGTTTAACGCCGAAATCTGTCAACAATATGCAAACTATGGCGAGATCAGCCTGTGCCTGGATCGGATTTCTTTAAACTTTACGGGTGTATGTATGTAAATAATTAAAGAGATAGAAAAAATGTATGTAAATCACACATTGTCTCGCTTTGGGCAAGTGTTCTAATATACCAAGCAGCGGATGGGTACCCGGTAGGATAAGATATTAACCTTCTAGTGTATCACACGGTGATTGGGTTACAAGTATAGTCCCCAGGGAGATGATAATGAACATTCGATCCATGTACAGGGGTTATTACTTTCCTTTGTTTCATCATCATCATCATGTTCGCCACCACCACCATCATCATCAGGGCGGTGGGGTAGCCTAACGGTTAAGCGTTCGCACGTCACGCTGATGACCCGGGTTCGATCCCAACATCGGTACAAAGTGTGAAGGCAATTTCTGGTGTCCCCCGCCGTGATATTGCTGGATTACTGCTAAATCCGACGTAAAACCATACTCACTCGCTAATCAACATCATCACCATTTTCATCATCAAAATCAGCATGTTCATCATCATCATCATCATCATCATCATCATCATCATCATCGTTATTGTTTTGTTGTCATTTGTTTTGTTTTTAGCGGAAACATTCACATAAAGAAAGGTGTACTTCCGATAAGATCCCGTCCTAAGATCATTCTGTTTCATTCACACAGAATAAAACTTATTTATTTCTTTTTGTTGAAAGAGTGTTTCAATTACTATTGTTAACGTTATAACCATTCATGTATGCGTTTAGTTAATCCATTTTAGCCATTAATTCTCCCCCACTTTTTTCATTTGTTCATCCCTTTGATTTTACCTCTGGTTTGTTTTCGTTGACGGTCTGTTCCTTTAATCTTTCATTCGTTAGCCATTTCTGGTGTCCCCCGCCGTGATATTGCTGGAATATTGCTAAAAGCGGCGTAAAACTAAACTCAGTCAGTCAGTCAGTCATTCGTTAGTGAACTGACGTTTTTCGATACCTGTGATTGTTTGAACGGATTCCATCCGTCCATTTGCGGTAGCAGTTACCTCCCTTGGTTATCGTAACACACTCGGTGATTTTGCCCCGACGTGATGCAGGCTGGCTTGTCGCGAAGTAAAATGGCGGATGGGACACAACTCTGGTGAGGTCAAATAAGTAAAACAGCCTGCTGTCCACATTGAGCAATATCAGACGATATTCAGAGTACAGAGTAAGGTGCTTTGTTAGTCAGAGTCGACGTCTGTATAAATTTCAAGCCCATTTGTATTGTAGTTATTGGCATATTGGCTGTTTCAAGCGGCGATCCTAGCATATTCAGGTCGCTCCTCCTAATCCGAAGGATGACGTAGTGTTTTCGAAGTGTTAGTTTTCAACGAGCAGATCTTTAGCATTGTAGTGTCTGTAAGACAGAATGACAGTTGACATACGACCTCGAACATAACCAATGCCAAAAAAACATTCCAGACACTGCATTATATTGATGAAGGACCGTTTCCTGTCCAGTAATGAGCAATTATGCGACACTAGTTCGGTTAGATTCCTCTATATTTTTGAAACAAATATTGGCTTATTCATAATCATGAAAATCTGAAGGACCGGTATTTTATTTTGGGGTTGCATCGGTATGGGCATCAGGGAAGTGTCACTAAAATATGACAGTCTGAAGGGAATTGTCATAAAATACAATACACTTATTTGACACGGATCATGAACAGATGGACATTTTGTGATAAAATATAGTGCTTTTGCCATGTATTGACAAAGGGAGGATCATCAGAATCATAACAAGCCGAAGGTGACGGTCGTTACTGTCATTAGAGTAGTGCACAAAAATCCAGACCTATATACCCGATTAATAACTGACCGTTCTCTGATGGGGAGAGTAAATAGAAAAGGTGATATGGTGATGGAGTAAAGTAAATAGGTTAACATCAGCATCTGTGTTGTGATTAGACCCTTGAAGAACTTAGTCCGCAACTCATACAACAAATGGGATTAGATGGTCAGAATGGATTGTTTACGCAATTACAGACAGACGTCACATGATGGAATTTTGGTGTTTTGAAAACAAACATATAAAAAAAAATATTACTGAAATCTTTGTGGACAAGTCTTTCCTGAACATAAATACAGTATGGTTCTGTGGTGTTCTGGAGATCCCTCTGAGATACAAGTGCTAGTGTTTTGGGATAAAGTACGTCAAGCACCATGTTTTAGGATGTGGTGAATGTTTGCCTTGGAGTTTATGAAGATGGGTTATTGAATCAGTGTTCATTTGATTTTTATTCTCAGCTCCCTTAGGAGTATACAGTCCATGCTGTTTGTGAGGACCCAGAAATATAAGGTTAACTGTCTCATCCTACCGGGTACCCATCAGAGTGAACAGTGGCATATGTTCGAATAATGTCACATGACCAAGGCACCATATGTTTTTCAAGTTGGGCAGGACCAAAGCCTTAAAAATCCCCAGATTTCTGTTATAAATGCAAATCTCAGATCAGGGGAGGAATAACCCATTGCCCGACGCCCCAGTCCAGTGTTTTTTTCTGTCGGGCAATCAAATTTTTATATCACACTGTACCGGTGTCCAGTTGACTTTCCAATGTTAATTATGTTGTTTATTTAAAAAATCAACAAGAAAATCGGCCAGTATAGTGGAAAAATTTTATATGTGCCACTGTACCGGAGTACACTAGCAATTCTATAGTTATTTCCACCCCTGTACATACAAACATCTTCCCTCCAACCCAGTGTCTAAAGTCATGTGACAAAGAAGATTTTGTAATGTAGCCTGATGTTTAATGTTAATGTTTCAGGACTCCAGGCATGATGGAGGAAGCCCTGGCATCTGTCCCGATTCCCCACACAGTCACTGTAACCATTGATGCTTGCCAGCCGATGGTAACACCACCTGCACAACTACCTTGTGAAGTGTGTGGAAAGACATTCGGGCAAAAAGTTCCAGCTCAACCGTCACATGAAACTACACACGGACGACAAACCACACAAATGTGACTTCTGTGACAAAGCATTTTTCTATGCGAGTAACCTCAACCAACATCGACGGTCACACACAGGCGAGAAGCCCTACAACTGTGGAGAATGTGGGAAACGGTTCGCCAAACTGAGCGGCCTAAAAAATCATATATTTACACACACTGGTCAAATGGCTAGTGGAAGCGGTCAAGGGAACATACCCAAAAAAGAATTCACATGTAACGTGTGCGGAAGGTCATTTCCGCAGAAGTACCAAATGAAGCGCCATCTAGACATGCATATGGCGGGAAGGTCGGAGAGGTCATATAAGTGTCGTGTATGCGGAGACGTAGCTCCAAACTACCATGCCTTCATTGCACACACAAACGTTCATCTAGTGCCCCCCAAGTACCAACCCAGCTAGGAAGGAAGGAAAGTGGTGCTCCATCTGTGAGAGAAATATTTCTGATTCTGAACTTGTGGACAATAAATGTGAGACCTGTGGAAAGAAAAAAATCACAAATGTTACATGGAAGACTGTTTGATTCCAGAATCGTATGAGAATCAAACCATGGATATTTGAAGGGACGTAGACTGGATTTGATTCTTTCTTCAGGTGTACATTGATGAGATCATCCTCTATTGTGAATCAAGCTTCCATATTTTCTCCAATAGATGCCCAGGTATCCATACATTTTGTGCAGGCCATTAACACAGCATCTGTTTTGTTTTATGTTTGGACAGTGGCAACTCAGTAGCAATACCAGATTTTACTATCGTACATTTCGAGGAAACAGCCATTAAGTGAAGGGAGTAATCATTAAATCAGTGTTTGACACTGACCAATATTTGTCAGCGTTCCAAAGGACAAGCACATAGAAATATGTACTGTGTTTTATCTCAATTAGGCACAATGGTCCAAGCCAAAAAAGGGTTTTAAAGGGTATTTATTCTGTTTGATTGGCATTTTAGAAGTTGATGAATAAGAAAGATATGATACTTCATGGATAACAACTTCTTTATTATCTTATGATGTGATGTTTCAGTATAGATTCTTATACCGTTGTCAAGCAAGATGTATTTATTCATTGAACAGTTTGAATGAGAAACCATCCAAGAAGAGAACCTGTGTAGCAAGTATGGTTGTAATGTATGTTGGTTTTGCTTAAGAATTTTTGGTCAGTCTATCACTGATGTTAAAAATTGACTAGCAGTTTTCATATTTTACTGTTTATGAAGGAAATGTCAACTGGGACCAGTAGACCAGTGTTATTGTTAAACACTGATCAGATGTGGAAAATAAACTGGACGGGAATCATTACCATTATTCCTTCACATGTAATGTAATGGTGTAACCTGTGTTGATAGAGGAAAGTTGAAATATTTGCAAGATATTTTACATTGTCAAGAATTCTCACTTGTGTCTGTGACCACTCATCCAGTGTGATAGACACGCACACAGAAATATATGCTATGATTTATGATCACACAGTGGTGATACCACAGTGTGTAGTGTTACTATGGTTACCAGTCAGTATCTGATCATTACATTGGATGTGAAGCCCCTGCCGTGATATTGATGAAATATTGATGAAATATTGCTAAAAGCAGGGTAAAATCATACTCACTCACTCAAGATTGTTTTACACAGCTATACATAAGTATGGAATTCAGTGGTTTTTTATTTGAATCTCTTCAGTGTTTCTAGTTACCCATATGGAACATATTTGTATCTATACATAATACAATATACTTGTGTGAAAGTTCTGAAACACAAAAAGCCCTTGAACAACCAATGGAATAACTATCCAAAAGAATTCCAGGATGTTGAAAACCACTGATTGTCTGATACTATTGCTCCTTCATTCCCAATGATTATTGATGCGACAGATTTTTGTATTACTACCATTTAGGTAAACAAGATGTTTTTATTGCTTCATAAGCAATGCATATGGACGTGTACTCGAAACTTTCACAGGTGGTATGATCTGTCTTACCAAGTTCCAATGGGGAGTGTGGATGACCTTGACAGTTTGTGACCTTTGACATTGAAATCCAACTCACCATGGAGAATTCAACTATTATTATCACAAACTGGGTTTTTTGGGATAAAAGTATGCTATTTCTTATTTATGAAGAGGAAATAGATTGGTTCTCATCTGTGGTATTATTTGAAATGACAAGTCCCTGAAAACATATTTTTTTAAGCACACAAGAGTTATGTCCCTTCGAATATCAAACAGTAATTTTCGTCTGCGGATGCAATCAGGGCAAAATGCTTTGCTTTCCCAAACCATGGCAGAAACAGGAGTGGAGAATGACAACGGTTCCAAATGACACTAGAATTTGGCAAATAAGATTGAAATGATGAAAAATGTATTGCACAGACAGTTGCCAAGTATATTACTTATAATATTGAGGGTAAATTTTGTAACTTTTGTAATAAATGCCTTCACAGTATACAGATTAATCATACATTACAATCATCATTCCTTGCAGGACTTTTTTTCATAAAATTCCTTATCTCTGACATGAGGTAGTGTTTTCTCAATAACTATTTGCATAGTCATTTGAGGTTATGCATATGGTTGACATAATGTTTATAGGTGGGTAGTCTTATAGGGTTGTCATTGTTTGGAAGTGTTAGTATCAATTTATCAATTCCAAAGTGACCAAAAAAAATCAAACAGTGATAAAAATTATGTATTTTGTATATTTTTCGCTCGATACCTATAGACTGCAAATAATCAAGTTAATGATCAGTTAAGTGTGTGAAACTGAATTTCTGCCTTCTCATTGTCCATCTTTATCCAATAATCTTAACACATGTAAATATTTCTGTTGCAGAGAATTCTAATTTTGGAGTGATATTCATGAATTTGTGTTGATTCTTTGCAGTTTCAATATCAAAATATGTATAGCAACATCAATTTCACTATATCCATGATATAAATGATGAGAAGCTGATGGCAAGTTGTGGACCAGAAGTGATAAATTGAGCAGGTGTATCATGTTATATTTTAGACAAACAATATTTTTGCAAGAGCATCTTCAAAATGGTAATTTTCAAAACATGTTTATATTTAAGTGCGTGCCCATGACTGAAATATGATTGTATAGAGTCGCATGCTGGTAAGTACCATTGTATGATGGCAGTGTGGAACTATGTCTGGACAAGACAGTTACCATGGTTACTGATGGACGTCATGAGCATCTGAGATACAATGACATGCATTAAACAAGTCAGTAATCCTCTTTCACGATAAGCAGGAAGTAGGGTGGAACGCAATACGTGATACTTTTTATGATACATATGGGACTGTATCCTTATATATGATGCTTTAAATTATGCATACTTTACTGAATGAAGGAATTACCCGACCTAGTTAAACTTGACATTAATGACTTTGTCAGTTGCTGTTACAGTGATGGCTGATGTGACCGTCATTAAGTGACTATTGTTTCTTAAGAATTAAAAGAACTTTACTGTTCATTGCCTTTTGTGTCTATTTTGGTATATCCAGATATATATGACCAGTGAATCAAAATGTCATGTCATGACCAGTGAATCGCAATGTGTGTCATGTCATGACCAGCTAATCGCAATATGTGTCATGTCATGACCAGTGAATCGCAATATTTGTCATGTCATGACCAGTGAACCGCAATATGTCTTGTCATGACCAGTGAATTGCAATATGTGTCATGTCATGACCAGTTAATCGCAATGTGTCATGTCATGACCAGTGAATCACAATATGTGTCATGACAAGTGAATTGCAATATGTGTCATGTCATGACCAGTTAATCACAATGTCATGACCAGTGAATCGCAATGTGTCATGTCATGACCAGTGAATTGCATTATGTGTCATGTCATGACCAGTGAATCGCAATATGTGTCATGTCATGACCAGTGATTCGCAATGTGTGTCATGTCATGACCAGTGAATCGCAATATGTGTCATGTCATGACCAGTTAATCGCATTATGTGTCATGACCAGTGAATCACAATATGTGTCATGACCAGTGAATTGCAATATTTGGTGGCACTGAATTGAGATACATGTTGTATCATGGCCAGTTGAGATACATATCGTACTGTGACCAGTGTATCTATATGTTTTGTATCACTAGCTCTGTATTGTACCATTATACAGGGATACATATGGTTCTGTGGCGAGAGAGAGAGAGGCGCCACAGTACCATATGTATCTCTGTCATGAAATGTGGAGAGAGAGAGTTTAGACCAGATAATCCAGTGATCAACAGCATGACCATCGATCTACGCAATTGCGATACAATTACATGTGTCAACCACGTCAGTGAGTCTGACCATCTGATCCTGTAAGTCGTCTCTCACCTCAATGATGTAATGAGCATGCACTGTCCAAACATCACCACAAATAAGACAAACACATCTAATATTGTAAGTATTTATTTTGGTCGGGTTGTCTTCCCATTATGACCGTTAACTTACAATATAACAAATACATAAAATAATATCTCTGTATACATTTCACAATATTGCATATCGGTGAGTTACAATATTTCTTTGCACGGATCAAATCGTAGTCCACAAGTTTAGTTTCAAGTCTTGCTGATATTGTGATATCTTCACATTATCTAAAGATATATAAGGCTTACGCTATTTTTTGGAATGAATGAATAAATATTGCATTTCACTGCATCCTCCTCACTTTGTGGACCATTTTATATATGTTGAAGACTTTTCATTCACCACTTGCCCTACTGCCAAGATAGCACAGCTGGAATCTTAAGTATAGATACACTGAACAGAGGTTGTTGATCATAAATATATTTGGGGATATTTTCCAGGGGTTCAAAAAATCCCGACGCCCGGGACAAGTCAGTTTTCATTTCTTACTTGTCCGTGGGCTACTAGATAATTTCCACTTATGGTTTCAAACTGCAAATAAACTTTGATTTAATTTCATATCTGCTCAAAACGTAGCTATTAAATTTCGCAATGATAATAAAGTAGGGTTATCTTTCTTTGCTATTTATCACTTTTCAATAAATAGTCCAGTAAACATTAACATCAAATACGATGTTGATTTCTTCTTTCATGATTACATCATCATAATTATGTCATAAAATCAGGGCAAGTGGATAATTAGTCAGGACAAGTTACTTTCTTAAAGTCACTTGCCCTGTGGCAAGTGGCTTTTTATAAAAAAATTGAACCCCTGTTTCATGAAATTGTGCTCTCACGTACCAAAACGTATCCCCCCAAAATGTTTATGATCCTTAACTTTTCTTGTTCAGTATACATTCAGTAACTCCATACATGAGCAGCATTGTATGACTGTCGTAATTAGTTGACAGGATGTGCTGCTGTTAGTAACGAAGGAGTATTTTTCTGATACTATTCACCTCAATTAGGGACCGTTCATAATTTATGGCTAGGGGGGGGTGGGGTGGGGGATAGTGATGATGATTTTTATGGAGAGGTATGTACAATGTGAATGAACCACCAAAAGATTTATGCACAAAGTGCCCCCCACCTCTGCATGTCATGTACAAAATCAATGACGTCCCTCGCCTTCCCATAATTTTTAATATACTTACGTATAAACTTGCTAGTACTTGTGTACAAAATTGATGACCCCCCACCCTATCTCCCCAGAACAAAATGGGTGACAACCCCTTAAAATCATCATTACCCCTAGCGATGGATTATGAACGGTCCCTTACTCCATTTGTGCCTTTTACTTATTGTGACTACTCAGAGTTTGAATGGATTTCAAAAAACTTTACAGGACACCTACAATATTTCCACTTTTCATTGAAGGATGATGAATTTAGATCACTGGTGAAATCAGTGGAAGACCAGAACACCTGTGATAATGACAGAAATTGTGTTCTTTGGTATTTGGCAATGGTGAAGGAATCCTGTCATAACAATTCTATGTGATTTCTCATTCAAGCTACAACACAAGCATTCTTCCATCAAGAGTACAACAGTAGATGCATCATGAGGGAGACCTCATAGATCAACCATTCGATTTTTTCAAGGGGTGGGGTGAGGTCCCAGGGATTTTAAGTAAAATATATAATCAAGCCTCTTTCTTAATACGTGTTCATAGTGCTTATAGGATACAGTTTGTTATTTTTAAATCTATAATGACCACTTAAATACTGAGAAGAAAATGATGCTCTCAACCAAAGGTATCCTCCATCCCTGTGAAATTCAAATGGTTGCAAATCGGGAAACAAGCAAAGCTTGGAGTGACTGGGCAGCACAGTGAAGAACTTTAGTTAAGTCTAGTGAAGCAGTAGAGTTGGAGATAGAAAACATCACAAATGAGAAGATTATCATGATTATCTTCTGGGTAGGATATAAAACTACTAATCACTATACTCCGACAGAGATTGGCCTGAGTTATTCATAAGTTTGATGCTCATTATGGAAGAGGAATGTAAGAAGAGGTGTGTTTTAATGTCAGAAAGGCAACGTCATAGTTCTCCTTTCCAAGTACTTCGAGCTGGAATATCCTTTGAAGACAAGCACGAGACAAATATCAGGGGAATATTTCAGCTGAGCCACAGGTGCAGCAATTTTCATGATTTGAATGACATGTTTGTTCTGGAATAAATATTACTAAATCACATTACAAGACAAGAAATCCTAAGAATTGTATTTAGAGTCAATTTCAACATTATCTGATGTCTACTTGAAATTGATTACAACCTTTGTCATAATCCGACAGACTCTCAATTGATGTTTATGTCAGGTGAACTCTCTAAAGGTCAATAACCATAGGTCTTTTTAAGATCAAAATTTGCAAGCTAATCGTATACCGGATCTTTTCATTTAATGTTATGTACCTTATTGATGGAGAGGCATTAAACTGCGATAACATTTGTGTTGTAGAGAGATTTCAGATTGAGAGGTTGTTCCTTTGTTAGCATACCAATATACATTTAACTTCTCATGGGATGTATGTGCATTTATACCACTAGGGTGTGTTATGTCCATTGTTCCGGCAGGTTGATTTTCTGCGTATCAACCTTCTGTCTGCACGTGCAGAGGTTGATATGTGGATAACGACCTGGGCGGTGCAGGAAACGCACGAGCAACAAGCAATGTACGAGTCCATTCGGCGCCCACGTGGTATAAGTAGGTTAGCACCCCCCCTCTGCGGGTGATATGGATTCAACGCTCTCGTCTAACGGCTCGAGCGTTGAAATCCATATCACCCTTGAGGAGGGTGCTAACGTATACATAAATCTTGTGATTTGCAGGATCTGACTTCAGCAATCATTGTCTTGTGGACATTATCCCAACACATGTACACGTAACACTTTGAAAGGACTTTGTAGATAACTGCTTATGAAAGGTTCACCAGAAAAAACTATTTTGAAGACAAGAACAGGTGAAGTAGAAGCTAAGCATTTGACACAGTTTTACAAAAGCATGTAATATACCATTTGTGCACTGCAACTGGAACAGTGATTGGTGGGGTGGAACAGGAAGATATATTAGTGTGCATGTTATAACTGATATATTGACTGTTAAATTATGTTCAGATATATGGAATATTTTGGCAAACTGCCCAGTGGAACGTGAGTGGAAAGCACATGATTATGACAAACTGATTTATTGAACAGCAACCCTTTGAGATGACTACAAACATGAACACCAGGAATGTGACAACATGGAAGCCACAGCATCAAATCCATAACTGCTGAAACATTGTTATCATGGTGTTTCCTGATAATAGTTATTATTTTACCCTTATATCCTGATGACGAGAAAGCTCTTACAAACCTGTACCAGCGACATGCATCAGCTCACAACTTAAATACAGAGGTAATGACTCATCAAGTCCCAATTATAAACATCTAACATTACCCCAAATGTTTGTGTGTGGTTTAACACTGCACTCAGCTATTTCCAGGCTAGATAAGGCCAATCTGTAACAAATACAGCATGGAATATCCCAGTGATTGATATTGTGGGTACAATCCACCGTGTCAGGGTACCATGATACACAGCAAACAAGTCACCAAACCATTTGGTCTTACAACCTGCAGAACTTTGAAGACCTATTTTCACCCAATATCTGAGTGAGTTTAGTTTTACACCGCAGTCAGCAATATTCAAGCTATATGGCGGCGGTCTGTAAATAATCAAGTCTGGACCTGACAATCAAGTGATCAGCAGCATGAGCCAATATCTGAAACCTGGCAAAAATGTTGAGATACCGGTGATATATCATATTGATTACCGTATATGACCGTCTATAAGCCGAATTTTGAGGACCAAAAAAAGCAGTCTGTAGAAGGGGGTCGTCTTATCCATGGGTTACGCTTTCGTCAAACCTTTTTCCAGGGGTACATTGGTGGGTAAATTTCTGAGGTTTCAAATACTAGTAGCCTTGTAGTCATGAATAATAGAAACAATTAGCTGGAAGTAGGCAATTAGTATCACATACTTCAGGAAGTTGTGCACTCCTAACAAATCCATAACTTAAGACGTGTTAAGTTTTCAAGTTTCTTGCAACTGTTATGCATCTGTGAGGAATGAAGGCTGCAAAACGTTCAATAAATCGATGATATTTTCTCCTGTGAAATCATTCCCGTACACAAACTGAAAGATAATTATTAATGTAAAAAGACAGTCCATCTGCTCTCATAGCAAGGCATATTTCTTGTGACTTGATTCTTGCATATCGTATAAATATATCACAGACAATCATGAACACTGATTTGGTATCAGGATTTCACACCAGAAGGCTCTGTACTGTCGTTACCGCTGTCGTCGGAGAAGTAGTTGTCTTGAGAGATGGACTGTGCAGCAAGACGCTGTTTCCTGGGGAGGGAAAAGCAAGTACAAAACATTATTGACTAATAATCTTCAGACCTGTAGCAAAGTTTAGACAACTATAACTATTTTGTTAAGTTGTATGGTAAGAGAGCGCGATTCTGGGCCCCACCGTTGACTTGAGAGGTTCTCTCTGTATATCAAGAGAACAGCTCAGATAAACTCATAGTATTGAGAGTTGTACAAGAATCCAACAAGTTCTTCCATTGTAGTTGTGAATCAGTGTTGTGTGTAGACCAGGAAAACTAGGCAATATCAGAGGACCTTTGTGAGATTCTTGCCGACAATAAAAAAGACTTGAACGCCATACTGGACTTATCTTTGAATATTCATCTTAGCTACATCATCAATATAGTCTTGCAATTTCCAGGAATCGAATACAAGTCGATCATGTTTTTCAACCAATCAGATTAAAGAACACAGTGACTTTTGGTTTACAATCGTTGTTAGATCCCTTAAACTTAAAGCCAAGTGTTGGTCAGGGAAAATAACTGAACTCAGAGACCTCTCTTACAAGTCAAGTGACAGCTCTTACCTCAACTGCCGAAGCAATGTCTACTTTGGCTTTAGCTTTGGTGCACCAGACAAAATGTCCAGACCTGCTAAATGGCTTAGTTACCACCTAGTCATTTTTCAATATGGCCACCATGGCAGCCATGTTTGATATCAGATCACAATTCTGTGATCAGTGTTTAGAGTGAATGAGTGAGTGAGTGAGTATGGTTTTACGCCGCTTTTAGCAATATTCCAGCAATATCACGGCGGGGGACACCGGAAATGGGCTTCACACATTGTATCCATGTGGGGAATCGAACCCGGCTCTTCGGCGTGACGAGCGAACGCTTTAACCACTAGGCTACCCCTCCGCCCCGATCAGTGTTTAGAGGTACCATCGCTGGGATTATTTGTACACTTTCAGATCCCTTGTAAGTTTCAGAGGATCAAACATGCAAAAGTTAACGGCGACAGGTTAGCTCTCTTGACGTTAAGTCAGGTGTGTGGAAGAAGTGTGGTGGTGTTCTTCATCTTACCTCAGTTCTATCCTGGAACACTTTGGACATTTGCCTGGGATGAAGCAGGTCTTGTGATAGCAGGCATGACAATCTGGAAACAAGGGCTTCTCATCAGAACATAGAATGTTGGCTTTACAACAGTCACAGTAGCCCACATGACTGTGGGCGGAGCAGTCTACTGACTGATGGCAAGGTGGAGTCACATCCCCCTTTCTGTCAGTTCTTACAACATGCATGAGGAATGTAGGAGTGATTATTTATAGTTTCATATTTATAGTTTCATATCACTGGGCTGTGCTTATAACTACTGTTATATCTGGGATTACACTTCTCACCACCATACAGCTTCAAGTACTCTCTTGGGCTGAGTCCCATCCAGGATTCACTAAGGATTGACACCAAGAAGGGGTTCCATAACACAATCATATCACTAAGATGTTTCCCCGTGATCTACTGGTGATTGAGTTAAAACATAACATAAAGGAAATATTTTCTGATGCAGTGAGCGGAGCAAATATTATCTGAACTATTATTTTACCAAGAGAAATATATTCTAGCAATGTGTCATTTAATTGTAAAATATACTCATGGAAACAAATAAGGGAACACATGAGGTGAGGTGAGGTGAAATTGGGTTTAACGTCGTGCTTGAGAATATTTCGCTCATATGACGACGTGCATGCGTGTGTATGTGTATGTGCGGCTGCTTGTACGAGCCCAGACTTAAGCTGGTTTTATAGTGAAGCATGAATACCCCACTCAGACACATTATACTGACTCCGAGCCGACCAGTCCTTGTTGTACCAATTAATGCCGAACGCCAGGCAGGGACCAACAATTACCATATTTTAACGTCTTTTGGTATGACGCGGTCGGGGATCGAACCCACGACCTTCCGCTCTCCGGGCGGACGCTCTAACCACTACACCACGGAGGCAGTCCGGGAACACATGAAAGTACAAGTGTTCCTTTATTCTTTTCCAGGTTTCTTCACAAGGTATGTATTGCTCTGTGAGTGAAATTCTGGAAATAAATAAAGGAACACTTGTACTTTCATGTGTTCCCTTATTCGTTTCTGTGTGTATATATATATATATCACCATAACTAACATTATGAGGTAGCACTTTGCTACATATTATGTATGGAACAATTGGACCTGTCACTGCTGTGATTTCGTGTCTCCATGTTTCCATTGAAGCTACTTCTGCTCATGTGTCAACTACACTTCGTTTTGAGGTGTAAGTGGGTGCAATATGATTATGATTGCTTTGAATAAATGTTATGGAGGGACACAGATATCCCAGTACCGGTAATTGATATCAACAATATTGAATGACATTTTGAGGAAAATCAATCAAGTAGATTACGAATGTTAGTCCAGATATGCAAAGAACATGTTCTATTACAAGATAGTGTAACAACTGGATGTAATTGCGTAATTCAATATAAATTTCTTGACACTATTTCCAAAGACTGATCACAAGAAGAAGATGAAGGAAGGTTGCTGGTTCAGCTTATGTACGGAACATACCATAACGATCAAGGGTCAAGTTAGGACCTCGGCTTATCTACGGTCATATAAGGCAATGTGATGTGTGATGTAAGCCTATACCTGGACACTGGAACACCTTGTCCAGCTGGAAGGGGAAGATGATGTCATGGCTGCTGCACAACTCACAGATGAAGCCCAGCCCCTGACAGAACTGAAACAGCAACAGTACACAGTCAGTAGCAGCATCACCATATTGTACAATACCTCCATATCACACCCTACTGTGGGTCGTTCTAACAACTACTAACTGCATCCTTTGATTTTGACCAGATTGGTATAGTTTTTTTTGTTATTTTGGTTGGGGTTTTTTGTGGGGGGGAGGTTTACATTTAATGCCACACTCAGCAATATTCCAACTATATGATGACAGTCTGTGAACAATCCATTCTGAACCAGAGTGAGTGAGTGAGTTTAGTTTTACGCCGCACTCAGCAATATTCCAGCTATATGGCGGCGATCTGTAAATAATCGAGTCTGGAGCAGACAATCCAGTGATCAACAGCATGAGCATTGATCTGCGCAATAGGGAACTGATGACATGTGTCAACCCAGTCAGCGAGCCTGACCACCCGATCCCATTAGTCGCCTCTTATGACAAGCATAGGTTACTGAAGATGAATATTCTAACCCGGACCTTCGTGGGTATATTCTGAACCAGACAATCCAGTGATTGATATTGTGACAAATAATCCATGTACAAGCTAAAGAACACACTATTAACCAAGTAATCAAGTCTGGCCACCCAGTCTATTTGGTCTCCTCTTAAGACCACCATAGACTGCCTGAGATAGATCCCAAAACACAGACTAGCTACAGTGTACACTAATGGTGGTTTTGTCTTATGGGGAGTATTGGGGTCATGGACATCTGTGGTACATGGCTGTTTCTTTGAGCCTAAAGTACCAGATCCATTGCAGGGATCTCCATCCCCTATCAACCCCAGTGAGGTAGTCATGACAAGCACAGGAAGCAGGGCCAACATACCGGGCAGGTTTGGATGTGGGACATGGCATTGTGGACACAGTTCTTCAGTTGGTTCACCATTTCCCCACTCTTTACCTGCAACAACAAACATATGAAAAACCATCAAACAAGACTACACCAAGGTCTTCATAATAAATGTCAAAACTTCTACACAAGGGCTCAACAACCAGGAAATTCAATGATGTTCAAACTGACAATCTAAACAAGTGAACATACAGGAAAGGATGACATTGCTAATGGATCTCTTATCAAATCACTCAGCTTTTCTCAGCAGAAATATGACAATTTTATGCATGGCACACAAACTTGGCACATGGGTGGCATCAGCCTTCACCAACAACCAAACTAAACCTGAACAGTTTCAAATGAATTTCGTTTAATGTCAGATATTCATTAACAGCATCAAAACAATCCTCCGCCGCAAATTATCAAATCAAACTTAAGCAGTAATGAAAGATAAATGTCTACAAAAACATGACCAGTCAACCTCTCTTGATATCTGGCTCTTTAGTTGTTCAAACACACAAATATTTTGAAGACTGACTTTTTTTTTTACCTTGACATGAATGTCATAGTGTATGAAATATGCAAAAATGGTACTAAAGAAATTGCTTATTGAAAAATATTCAAGGGAAGTCTTGAAAGTCTATGAAGAAAAAAAAATCCAGTGAATTCAGGTTAACAAGCTGAAATCTTCAAAGTGTCGCAGTGACCTTGAAAATTATGTGAAGGTCACCAAAATCGACTGGGCCTTGCACTTTCCCTAGATGAAGCTTGGTGTGAAATATGAAGAAAGTCCAGTGAATGGTTCTTGAGATATCTTGCTGACAAGGGTAAAACGTTAAAGTCCCCTTGTGGGACCTTTCTCATACTGTGATGAACCTAGGTACCAAATATGAAAAGAATCTAGTCAACGGTTCTTAAGATATTCCAATTCGTACGGACAGACGTACGTACGTACGTACGTATGTACTGAGCCTAATACTATATCCCCGCTTCGCGCTAAACGCGCGGCAGGGGATAATTAACCTTGAAAGTCAAATGGTGGTTTCAGTAAGTTACAGAGAACTAAGTCCTAGACGCCAGTACAGGAGGAGAAGATCACAAGGATCCACATACCCTGGTTCATTTTGAACACTTTTTATTGACTATTATTTTATTAAAGCAAAGTCTGTGGATTATCCGCAGTATGTACGACACTTGGCAAGAGAATCTGCAGGAACACGGACAGCCAGACTATGATTCAACTCACTCGTGTTAGGTCTTCCATGGAGAACACTGTTGTTTCATCCAACCAGTGACGAGGTAATTTTTCTATATCATCTAGCAGTCTGTGGACATAAAGAGAATATCTCCTTAGTGTCTTTTGACATAAAACATATCAATAAGATTCAATAAATTGCATTATTAGTTTACATGTCTCAGTAAAATCATTTCTTAATTTTACAGTTTGAAAGATGTATTGGTCAACATTCATCAGCTGGTGTCCACTGTATGGCTCTGATATTGCCCACAACTTCAACATATTTTTGCCATAAACAGGGACTGACAGCCCTGAATTTATCCAGAGCATGCCATATTTAACCAGTCAGTGAGTGACTGAGTGAGATGGGTTTTACGTTGCTTTTAGCAATATTCCAGCAACATCACGGCGGGGGACACCAGAAATGGGCTTCACACATTGTACCCATGTGTCAAATCGAACCCGGGCCTTCGGCATGATGAGCAAACGCCTTAACCTCAAGGCTAACCTCTAATACCCCATATTTTACCCATCAATATTTGGTATTTATATACCAGCATAAGGAAATGCTATGCTACTCTAATCACAAGCAGCCACCAACAGCTTGTCCGATCACCTGACCCTCACCTGCTTCCCTGCTTGCAGACCTTAAGGAAAGACTTCAGATGGAAGAGCTGTTTCCGACAGTCACGAATTGTCTCCAAGTTGCGAACTCGCCGGAATAACAACGCATTGATGTCGAGGACATTAAACAAAGGATCCTTAAAGATTTTCGCCAGTAAATCGTGGGCAAAGTTCGACACATAGTATTTAGTAAAGTCCCACTTGCGGAGCACTCTCCCTGGCACGTAGTCCACTGAGTTGGAGTGGCAGCACTGACAGAAATACTTGCCCAGGTATTCACAGTACCGGAACCGTTTCACATACGCTGCAATGAATAAACGAATAACACATCACATATCTACTTTCACACATGTCAGATTTTCACAATACTGAAACTGAACTGATGTCAGCAGCATTGTTAGAGTACTTGTTGTTTTGTTTGTTAAAGAAAAATGATGTTTGTTGTTTTGTTGTTTGATGCCACAACACTCAATCGTCATGACTACAGACAGTAAATTATAGAGTCTGAACCGCACAACCACATCATTGAAATTGTGAGATGCTCTGTGCCAGTCAAGTGGTCTCTGAGCCTAACCACCTGATCCCTCTAGTGAGTAAGTGAGTGAGTATGGTTTTACGTGGCTTTTAGCAATATTCCAGCAATATCACGGCGAGGGACACCAGAAATACCGATATATATAATTAGGTGATCTGTGACAAAGTCAGTATTGCTATTAAATTCATAGGACGCCTAAAATGGCCTTGTTATAATATCACGTGACACAAAATTTAATGACCATGCACAATCATTTCATAATATGAGACAAGACGAAAATTGTTGAAAATGTTCAAGATTACTCCATTTACATAGCAACGCTCATCCATACGTGTAGCGAATATGGTGCCCGTATCAGTCTGAACTGGTATCATTGTGCAAGGTCACTGATATATGCCGCAGTTTAACGTGGACTTATACACAGTATACCTATACACAACTCTAAGCCAAACAGTCCCTGTTTCATCCCCTTATAGCAGAATAACACACATCCTTTTACATTTTTGCTGTTTGAGTGAGTGAGTGAGTGAGTGAGTTTTACGCTGCTTTTAACAATATTCCAGCTATATCACGGTGGGGGACACCAGAAATGGGTTCACACATTGTACCCACGTGGGGAATCGTACCCAGGTCTTCGGTGTGACGAGCGAACGCTTTAACCACTAGGCTACCCCACAGCCCCTTTTGCTGCTTGAACCAGCATGAGGATGTAATATATAAATATGAGAATAAATTCATAAAATGGCAAAATCATAAATCAGCGAAGTTGCCTAGTCAGATAACATTTAATTCATGAGACCCACTGCAATTCCAGGCTAGAAGTCCCTGACACCTTTCCATGTCAGGTGATAAAAGAAACAGCTAGTCAGTTTGTCGACTTGGTTCACTGCACCTAATCATGTTTCAATCACATGGATCTGTGATCATCACAACAATCACAGGGTTGTTTGATCCAGACTCCAATATTCACTGACCATTGGGACAAAGCGTAGCGGCCATAAAATTTTCGAGTCCCTTGCTGGGATTCGACCAAGGACCTTATGATCCGAAGTCTGACGCCTTGTCCCAATGACCAAAGAGGTTAACCCCGTCAGCAAGCTGACAAGGTACAGATGTCATCTGTGGGATGACTCCAAGCCCTGCTACAATAGTTGGAATATTGCTGTGAACAGCTTTAAACAACAAACAATTCAAGTCCACCTTACAAGGAGCGGAATGGCTGACAGCAGTTATCACATGCAAAAAGTCCTGTGTGTTTAATGGAAATTGTGTTCTTGCAAGCATACAAACCTGGCTCAACCTTCATCCCACACCCAGCACACCGGTAGTTTTGTTTGGCTAAGATAACACTACGTCTGAAACAAGCAAAGCATTTCTCCATATATGCAATATCTTCAGAAATATATTTTTCCACAGGCAAAGGCAACACACGAAAATTCAAAAGCTTCCTTGACAACCTGAAGCCGATATCTATCATATGATAGAATTACACATTCTAAATCTGGTAAAACCTCCAACTTGACTACAATATAGAGCATGGACCTACTTGGGTGGGGGATGTATGTTGAAGATGATTTGTGGCCGTGGAGGCGCCCATTCCAGGTTTCCTCGTATTCGTGTCTGAAAAAACACATTAAAACAACAATATTCATTATCATTGGTTACTTGGATATTCATATGAATCTACAGAAGGGTCTTGTAAAATTTATCACACACAGACATCTGTTTTATAACTGTTTTTAGCGTAAAATGAAAAAAAATCCTGAAACATTCCTGAGCATCAATCAATGCTACTGGGATACAATGACCTGGATCAACCAAGTCAACACGGCTTTATCCTTGCAGTAGTAGTGTTGGGAATTGGTTAAAATCTTATCATTGATGATTGGTTCATTACAACCGATCAATCATCGAAAATAGTTGGTTAGCGTTGTTTATCAAATTGTCCTGGTTATGTTTGTTAATGCACAAAAAATAAAGAAAAAACATGTAGTTCTTTCGGGGGTTTTATGGGCAAATTTCATGTCTTTAAAGGATGACTAGTATGTTAGGAACATAAATTTCCTGGAGTCTCCAAGATAAATTTGGATAAATCACGACTTGGTACGAGCTTGTAGTGCTTATGAATCGTAACAAACAAAACCAACTTTGTGATAAATATTGTTAATGCAAACAAGTGTTCCAAAATTGTTTGTGTTCAATTATGACAAAATGTGATCGATTGCTTGGTCGTTTAGTCATTGAGACCAATCTTCGATTATTTCAATCAATTGGACCACCACTTCCTTGCAGTCACTTCTCATGACAAACATGGGTTGGTTGAGACCAGTACTAACCTAAATCTTCACGGGGTTCAGATGTTTTATGAGACTCACCTTTCTGTTCTTCAGAAGGTCAGCGTTCTCTCCGTCGTCAGGCGACACTGGGTAGGAATTGGGCAGCGGCAGCAACTGCAGCATCATTCAGATGAAGGATGCAACTATTGCTTACTACATGCTAAATTTTGGCTAAGCTTGCACATAAATGCTTGTAAATGAAAACCCTGAAGGGTTGCCCGACTGGTAATAGATGTATTGAAGTCCTCATGGTCCTAGTTTGGTGAACTGGGACCCTATCCAGAAATCGTTCGTACAACTACGTCATTCATTAGCCAATGACATACTATAGAGTTACGATGGGTCATAACGTTATGAACATTTTGTGGATCAGGATCCTGACTTTATTTGCTGGCAAGCAACAGCCAGAGTTCAATATTGTGTCATTTATCTGAGTGTTAATAATTTCCCACGATAGCCAGCAGGTTATTCTCTGGTTCTGGCCTGTGTCATTGTATCAGCAGGTTAACACACTTACTGCCTGAGGGGCATCCTGTTCCGAGACCAGCCACTCCAGGTCCGAAGCCTTGGGAAGCTGCTTCTCTGAGAACTTCTTCAGTAAAGAGATGGCCACAGACTCGGCCGACATGTTGGCTCCAACACTGTCCTGAGATGTACTGCAAACACATGGTCAAATTACAGCCTTGAAACATGAGCAAAAGTAGCGTTGCTTTCTATAGTATTTCAGTCATATCAGAGTTAAGTGGAACACACAAGCAAGGATATCGTAACAATGATGTTTTCAGTGGGATTCTTCAACAAGTATATTGCTGAGTGATAACAATTTAGTCTCAGATATGTACTAATTTCATGAAACCCATCTAACTGGAAACATAATCAGGGCACAAATTCATTTCTCAGTTTCCTGTGTGTCCAAGGGACATAACTCTGCATATGTTAACGAACGTAATAGATTCTTTCCTTGCTTAAGACTTCACTCAGTAATATTCCATGAACTAGTGGTCTCTAAAAAGGTCTCATCTGGACCAGAAAATCCAGTGAGTAAGATGAGTACAGCAAATTCTGAAACCGTTTATCTTAAATGGTTCCTTCCTGAAAACTGATACCTACTTCTGTTTTTCTAGTGGGTGACTGCTCTTATGAAGGTCAGCATCTGAAAGAGACACATATTTTCTATATTATATGGACCAGAAATATCAGCCAAGAAAGGGAGAATCGAACATGGATTTTTAAAAACAGTGAGTGTACGTCTAACATTGTCTTAACACACGTTTAACATTGTCTTCCTCCAAATATATCAAAAGGCAAATGACACTGCACATAAAGCAGAAATCTAAAACTAAGGTAGTCAGACTAACAATATTGACTAGTAGTAGATGTTGTGTGTTTGGATAGCCAGGTATTCCTGTTACATGGCCATTCCAGATATAGGAAGCCCAAGTTTGAGAGTGAATGAGTGAGTGAGTTTAGTTTTACACCGCTTTGAGAAATATTCCAGCAATATCACGGCAGGGGACACTAGAAATGGACTTCACACATTGTACCCATGTGGGGAATCGAACCCGGGTCTTAGGCGTGATGAGCGGATGCTTTAACCACAAGGCTACCCCATCCCCAATTTTGTACCCAACCCAATACAAGAAGAAATCTGGTAGCACAGAGGGGAAACCAAGGTTGGAACTAAAATCAGTATAAATATAAATATAATTTTCTATTTTCAAAAGGGGAGAAAGATTACAGTTCTGAAGATAGAAAATTACACAAGTCTCTCTGACAAATTAGAGACACAAAGAAAGCGGCCAAGAGCTTCTAGGTGCTTATTTCACACACTGCTGGCGCTGTGTCATAGATGTCTGTCTGCTAGGGGGATGCTGTGCTGGGATGGGGGGGTTAGTGGGGAAAACAGGGGGTTAATAAGCAGGGAGGATCAGTGGGATTCCTCACACTGACAAACCTTTAAAATTTACAAACACATCTCGCTAAGATCACTACTTTAATACACAGAACAGTTACAGTCTCATTACTTCATTCACCGACATTACACTTAGAAATATATTAAAAATCACAGAAATATTTTTTCGCTAGCATATTATTTGAAAAATCATTCATAGAGACGAAACAATAAAATCGCCTCAACAGCAACTACTTCATTACAAGAGAAGACACAGCTTCACAACAAAAGTACAACATGTTTACCAGAGTAGAGAGACGCCATTGAGAGAGATAGACCGCTGGACTTTAGCACTGACAAGTTGGTCTGGTGGTCAGCTGCCGATCCTGATACTATAAACAAATTATCTCCCTTTAACTCATTCCCTGAAATGTCAGTGCTAAGATATTTCAAACTGGATCGTAAAAAGACATGTGATCTACAGCAGGATGGCAGTGGCACCTGGTGAAGGCACATTCACAATATGTCCGTGTGGAATCCTCACAATATACCTTTATGAAAAATAATGTAATGTTCTGATCTCAGCAAATATTACAAGGTTTAGCTGTGACAGGGATTTGTGACAAATGATTAACTACATATAAACATTTCCCCAGTCAACAGACCCACTGAGCCAAACTGTCTGTTTGATGATGCAGTTTTTCTAAAAAGTATGTCTATTGAAGAGGTTCCGACCATTCTGTAGGAACAGGCACATTTATATTGGCTTCTGCAATATGACAATTTCAAAGATGCTGTTGACATTTTCAGTATATAAAATGATGAACATAAAATCATAGTGAGATGATGAATTACTCCATGATGATCACACATGTGATTTCACCGTGACGTGTTGCACTAGTGTGGGTAACATGTGTCAGGAGAATGATCACACATGTGATTTCACCGTGACGTGTTGCACTAGTGTGGGTAACATGTGTCAGGAGGTTACACACAGGTAAATGTCACCACAAGCATATACTGTCTGTGTGTGGTCAGGGGCAGTGAGAGATGGGACTGGGTATCTGTGCAGATTACTGACATGGTATGTATGAAACATTTTGATCAATAGAGATATAATGAGACAAAATACGATAACTGTATGATATAATCCAAAACGCCACTTAAAGAAGTTATAATCGATTAGAAACTATTATTTGTTTAACATAAAAGCTGTATCACTAATCACTACTTCCATGTTAAATCTCTAAACATTTCTGAGTATTTGTATAATATTTGTGAGTATTTGTAACACAATGGGAATATCAGATGCAACAAACCATTTGAACTCAATTAATCATAAAATAAGCATAGGTTCATTAGATCAATCGCTTGCTATACACAATTATTAGTTTCTAACATAGCTTTTATCAAGATTCCAGATATATTACAATGACTTGAGAATAACAGGTCTGGATCAGACAAATCAGTGATTGATTATGATCAATGACCCATGCCATGGGGGTGGTAGACCCACAATCAACAAAGTCACAGCGTCTGACCACACGATCAGATAGGTCATCTCCTACAACCAGCATGGTTGCTTGGGACTTAACTTAACCTGTATTCCCCATGGGATATAAATAAGACCGTGAAACATGACTGTTAAATGAAACATATTGTCTTTTGTTTGGCTGCCATATATAATCCTGCTCTTTCAAGGGCAATCCCTGTCTCAGTCCCACAAGGGAGAAACATGTGGAGGTGATGGAAGGGCTGAATCAACAGAGGGAGTGAAGACCATACTTACACGTCAACTCAATTTCCTCATCATCTACATCATCACTTGAATCGTAACTATCTGCAAGACATAAAACAACATGCTAAACAAGTACTGAGTCAGTGAGTATGATTTTACGCTGCTTTTAGTCATATTTTGCTAAGCAGCTGAGAAGTGTGTATGAGCATGGCTTTATGCCACATTCAGCAACAGTGTTCGTACAGATTATCAGGACATACAAAACATAATTTACATTGCTTCATGGAATTATGTCTGGAATAATCTGTTCCTTGAGTAATCTACATAATCGAGCGAAACACTAAGCTCATCAAATGTAACTTTTGTTCTTAATTCAGGTGCAGAGCAAATGTGCAAATACAACAACGATCTCTACATATACAAAAACATATATGGAATCATTTTCATACACATAGACATAAATAGTGCCATCAAATGTGACCTGTTGTCAACACTTTGTTATCAAATGTGACCTATTGTCAACACTGTCACCAACTGTGACCTATTGTCAACACTGTCACCAACTGTGACCTATTGTCAACACTGTTACCAACTGTGACCTATTGTCAACACTGTGTTACCAACTGTGACCTATTGTCAACACTGTCACCAACTGTGGCCTATTGTCAACACTGTACTCTCAACGGTGGCCTATTGTCAACACTGTCACCAAGTGTGTCCTATTGTCAACACTGCCACCAACTGTGACCTATTGTCAACACTGTGTTACCAACTGTGACCTATTGTCAACACTGTGTTACCAACTGTGACCTATTGTCAACACTGTTACCAACTGTGGCCTATTGTCAACACTGTACTCTCAACTGTGGCCTATTGTCAACACTGTGTTACTGAATGTGACCTATTGTCAACACTGTTGCCAACTGTGACCTATTGTCAACACTGTGTCACTAACTGTGACCTATTGTCAATACTGTCACCAAGTGTGTCCTATTGTCAACACTGCCACCAACTGTGACCTACTGACAACTGTGTCACCAACTGTGACGTATTGTCAACAGTGTCACCAACTGTGACCTATTGTCAACACTGGGCCATCAACTGTGGCCTATTGCCAACACTAGGCCATCAACTGTGACCTATTGTCAACACTGTCACCAACTGTGATCTATTGTCAACACTGTATTACCAACCTGAGTAGGTTGAAGAGTCGTGCGGAGAGCTGACAGGTGAGGAGGTTGCCGTGGCTACAACACACAAACACACTCGCATGCTTCACAACAACAACAACAACAACAACAACTGAATCACATGTGACGTCAAAAGCACAATATACATGTAACTAATATACAAAATAATAAGAAAAACAACTTAACAATTGACAATATTATTAAATTTTACGGACATATGAACATAAAATCTGGTGTGCATACTGTGTAAATCTGCACAGTGAATTGAAGTGTGAAGTGTGCACACCAGTTTCATGTCTGTAACTCCATAAATGTAAAAATATATTGAAGTGCTAGAAATAAAATAATCAATAATAATAACTTCACATGCTGCTTACTTAAACAATAAAACACAAACAACTGGAGACAACAATGTGAAACCAGCAACTATTGACATTGCGCAGTGGACCAATGGAAGATGAGACCCACCCGCCCAATCTGTTATCACTTATTGGGCCATTGGTAGGCATGGTGGAATTAGGGAGGTGGGCCTTATGAAAACATAAAAGCAAAGGTTTTTCCTTTCTTAACCATCAAATGCCACAGAGTGACTTCAGACATAAATATATTAATACAAACGACAAAGTGTAGAGCAAAAGAACTGAAGTATGTTGAAAAGACTTAAAATCACACGTGTAAAGATGCATATCACCATATGACAACATATTACGAAGAACAGCTTAAAATGTTCCACACATCACTTCTGTTCATGAAATGTACATGCACATAGAACACATACTCCTGACTAATATGATGTTTTGAAAAGAAACTAAAATTTAACATGAAATATCAAACCACAGAGTTTTCAACCTTCCTCAATTCGTCTTGATATATTTGACATCAAAACACACTTGGTGATATTATTTACACATAAAAAAACTTACTGTCTGTTCGACCATCACTGAAGGCGGGAAACCCACGGGCTTTCTGAAAAAAAGCAGGCAGCTGTTAAGCACTGGTCTCCCAAATAGTGCAGCTGTTAAGCACTGGTTTCCCAAATAGAGCAGCTGTTAAGCACTGGTTTCCCAAATAGTGCAGCTGTTAAGCACTGGTTTCCCAAACAGAGCAGCTGTTAAACACTGGTTTCCCAAATAGTGCAGCTGTTAAGCACTGGTTTGATAAACGTCTTAAATCACTCCAGAATTTATTTTATGACTGAAACTTTCACCATGGGACAAAGGACATACAAGAAACACAAATATAGTTGTGGCTGTATGGTACATAGCCGACTGATAACTAAAGCTACATTCACTCCCTCACTCAAACACCCAAATGCATGAGGAATTCGTACATGTGTGACCCTGAACATTAACATTCTTCCAGCTATAACACAGTGCCTTTAAGGACTTAAACCTGGACTTGAACCGGGGCCAGACAAACCAGTGATTAACGGCATGAGCAAAAGTTCAAGCAACCGACTTTGTAACCACCCAATACATGGTCTGGCTTTACTCTGAACTTTATGTGTAGAGACACATGGAGCAGTTTGTTCAGAGACATATAGAACATTAACCCCAATATGCCTAATTTTTTTTAAATGTTCGTAAAGACAGTTATCACATTTGTGGCCTGCCAAGAGGTGGGAGTTTACCTCCTTCTGCCTCTCCCGTCGACGGATCCGGATCCTCTGTTTCAACTCCTGGATCTCCTCGTCCGACTCTTCCTCGATGTCGGAATCTTTCCTGGCAGGGGATATCACGTGGTTCCATTTCATCTGCTCTATCGCTGCTATCAAAGCCTCAGAGATACTGAAATGGGCATTTTCCTGAAAGAAAATATTCATTTAAAACTAGTTTTAGGACAAGGCAAAATAGTTAATGCAACAAAATAGTCTTTATACACTTAGATTACCAGTGCAAAGGTGGTCAAGCTGGGTGGCTTCATCGTTAAAAAAATATATAATAATACTAATGGCCATTTTTAAAGCACCTGTTTCCATACACTTGTGCATGCTCAAAGCACTAACACATTATTACCCCAGATAACACAAGCGGGTTATAGTCACATTACTCATCCCACCGGGTACCCATTTTCTGCTGGGTGAAGAGAGGCAATTTGCAACAAACTCGCTTGGCTAAGGTGAGACCACATGTATGGCATGTGCTTCGTTGTGGGGCAGGACTGAAGTCCTAGAAACTCTCAGGAGTCCAGCTGCCAAGCACAGTTACTCATCCAAGGAATCTCTGCGCCAAACCTTGCTCAACTTCAACTGATTTATGACCTGAGCTCTATGCACAGAACCACACATTGCAACATCCCTTTTCAAATGTTTTTACATTTGTATTCATTTGTATTTATAAGTTCCTAATTTAACTTTAAATTAATTATGATGATACAAACCATTCTTTCAGCCTCTGCAAATATTTATAAATATTCTGCAAAATTGTAAAACAAGACAAAATATTGGTTTGGAGAAGTGCTAAATCTAATTTGTGTCCATTGATTAACAGCATTTGAGAGCTATAATTCTGATCCAGTTCTCACTCTTTTCATTTTACCTTAAAATGGAACTGAAATACGCTCACAGAAAAGAAGGAAAGATATTATTTTTGTTTTTTTTTGTCAGAGCGAGCTACAGACTCTAAAGTCTAAAGGCTGCCACACTTACCTTGTCCAGGTTAGCACAGGTATGGAAGTCCTGAGAGGAGAGGTAACTCATAAGAGACTGTCCCTGAGCTGGGGGGGTGGAGACGGCCGTCAAACCTGCTGCTGGACCCCGACGCTGAAACACCAAGAAGATAGGGGATGCATTACCATGTGACCAGCCATCCTATACCACCACAATCTGTACACAGCCAGTACCCATAGCATGTGGTTTTCGTTTAATGCATCATTCAGCAATATTAAAGCTATGGTGTATAAACATAAAATTATGGACCAGACAATCCAGCCATGTCTTCAGCACTGATCTATACTTTTACACACGACAACCAAGTCAGTGAGGATGATCACCCTGGTCCATTAGTTGCCTCTTACAACAAGCATGGTTACTAAAGACAAGACCCGTGAAGATCCGGGTTAGAATTGATCTTCAGCAACCCATGCTTGTCATAAGAGACGACTTACGGGATCGGGTGGTCAGGATGGCTGACTTGGTTGACACATGTCATCGCTTCCCAACTACGTACATCAATGCTCAAAACTTCAATCACTGGATTGTCTGGACCAGTCTCCATTGTTTTCTGACTACCATCATATTGCTGGACAATTTTAGGCTTTAGGCAACAAACAAACAAAACAAAATAAAGCAAAACCGAGGACTGATTCTGATTCCACATCTTTACAGGGTTTCACAGGTAGTAGTGAGATTCAGTCAGATGTTGAGAGCAGTACATCAGAATGTAGGTTATCTTTGCTCATAATGATGACTTTATAGGAAAAAGTACAAACTATTTTTCTCACATATACACATTTCATCTGATATTATTATTTAGGAATAATAACAGTATTCTTCCATTATCTTCTCATTTCTATCTGTGAATATGTTACACAGAAGTTCAGAAGATTGTATTATTCCTTTAAATATTAAGCACACCTAAATAACAATTAGAAATCTAAGTAGAAATCTAAGTCTTGTTAGTTTGTTTAGAAGTGTTGACAGAAGAAATGTTTGATAGTAACATGTTAATGACATTGAATCTTCATTCCATAGATGAGATCACAGATGGAGACAGTTGGATGTTAGTAGTTCTAACAGACATACATTAGTACAGTTCCGGTTCATCAACATGCAAAGCAGCCAGCTCTATGTTATAGGTCTGCTGTAAACCCTCACAGTATATACCAAGAATGATGATAACTCGATGTATTTGTAAATATAAATAGTCATTGATGAATAATCAGCGGAAACAATATGACAAGTGACTGGATATGGATTTACGTTACTTTTAGCAATATTCCAGCAATATTCCAGCAATATCACAGCGGGGGCACCAGAAATGGGCTTCACACATTGTACCGATGTGGGGAATCGAACCCGAGTTTAAGCAATAACTCATACTGCAGAACACCTATGTTCGATATCCACATGGACATAATATGTGAAGCACATTTCTGGTGAACCTCACAGTGATATTACTGGAAGTGGAACATTGCTAAAGGCTGCATAAAATCATTCTCACTTATTATGAATACAAGCTCATCTCCAAACACAAACAATTTTCAGATAATTTGCAGCTAAAGCCAAATCATCAGTGCATGACCTTAGAATGCCCAGTGTTACAAAATGCATTATTAACAGACGTCATCAGTTTTTTAACTGTTGGATACCAGAACTGTATCATCCACAATTAGTGTAACAAAGTACCATCATCAACTCCAGATTAACATATTGAACAACTAAAGGTGACATTTACCAGCTGTCAACAGTCTTTGTTCAACAGCACCATAATCACCATTATCCTCTTGTTAAAGAAAATGGTTGCAGAAAGTGCCCTCAAATACTAGATGCATACATTAAAATTCCATGATGTGAATCACTCATTACTTACCAGGAAAGCATTTGAATATGACTGAATATATTCCTCTCAAACATGCAGACATATCAAAACAGCCAATCATTTCATGGATGTTCACAGTGGGTGTTGATAAGACTACATGTGGAATACAGGTGTATCTAGTGATACAACCACCAAACTAGGTATAATTATATAGCTAATACACTAAAACACAACTAGGGTAAATCACACATCACTGGATACAGATGTGAATAGTTAACTGAATTTAGGTATACAGTATTAGATTCAACACTGAGGTGACAGGCCCCAAACATGAGTATTCATCCTTTCCACCACGTGTGACAGTGTCCTGACAACAGCTGCTCTGCGGGGACTGTCGGAGTTGTGGAGATTAGAATTACACGACCATTATCAGCATGTTTATCACATTCAGGTGCAAGAAACATTCCTAATGTCCTCGTGTTAACCAGTTGCTTATTTTGACATTTACACAGGAAGATATTTCTTTGTCTTTTGAGATCTGAGGTCATGCAATTTGAGTCTGACTTTAAGCAGTTACAAGTTGATGAATCATGTTTAAATTGTGAAGTTGAAATTGTTCTATTACAACAAGTGTGCTATCAATCAGGTGTGGCACAGACTATATACAAAGTTAAGTAAACACACCTGCTTCTCAGGGGTGGAAATAACCCATTGCCCGATGCCCGAGTCCAGTGTTTTTTCTGTCGGGCAAACAAATTTGTATATCACACTGTACCGGTGTCCAGTTGATATTCCAATGTTAATTATGTTGTTTATTTAAAAATCAACAAGAAAACGGCAGGTATAGTGGAAAAATGATCAGGGCAAGTGATTTTACATGTGCCACTGTACCGGAGTACACTAGCAATTTTATAGTTATTTCCACCCCTGCTTCTGCTCCTGGACATGCTGCACAAATGTGCAGGGGTCACGCCAGAAGTTGTTGTTTCACCTATTTCATGTAAATAATGAAGTCTGGACCAATCCAGTGATTGAGTGAGTGAGTTGGTTTTTATGCCGCTTTTAGCATTATTCTATCAATATCATGGCGGGGGACATCAGGAATGGGCTTCACACTTTGTACCCATGTAGGGAATTGAACCTGGACATTCAGTGTGAGGAGCAGGCACTACTATGCTACCCACCGCCCCTCCAGTGATTTACACTATATGCTATGATCCATCCTGCTGGACTACGATGTAGGGCTGCGCAATATAACCGGTTTACCAGTATTTACCGGTTCAGACATAAAAACGATACTCATTGCGATACGCTGATTGAAAACCAGTATTTTGACTTGCATTCGGAAAACTTCGTAACACTCGGAAATCTTCGGATATTTCCTTGTTTCATTTGTGCCAAATACTATTTACATTTTTATTTTGTCATGATTCAAAGTTTTTATTAAAGCTTAATCAAGCATAGTGATTTTGTTGTGTTCATGCTTTATAAATCAAGCATTAACTCTATTATAAGTAGTTTTTTGTTTAAAAATACTTCTTGCAATATATTGCAATACATATCGCAATACATGCTTTCGCATCGCAATATATCGCAATATGAAAATTCTCTGCAATACCCACCCCTATTACGATGATAGAATCCACCAAGTCACTGCAACTGACCACCAAATCCACAAACTACTGATGACAGAACAAGAACCTGCTACTGCTTGCTAATTTTAACAAAAATCCCCAAGAGGATTAATATTTTTATATTTTGTCATGGGAAGATTCAGTCCCTAAATATTGCTTAACATAGATTGGGAGAGTCAGAACTGACTGCCATGTCATACACAATATTGCTGACTTTTCCTATAAATATCCTTCACTCACTTCCCGTAGACCAGAACCTGAGTCGAGACAAGGTCTGTTCAGTCCATTACGCTTACCAATAGTCCCCATAGCAACACTAGGACTGACTAAGATATTATTCATAGGAATGGTGACAGGACAGTAGACTCAAAAGCATTTGGCACAGACTGTTCCCATACTTTGGGTATCCTGGGTAAGGTTTGATCTTCAGTACCCTACAATACCCCACAGTAAACCCTTGCTACACACAGCTCACTTGGTCAGGTTCTATATCATTGTTTCCTAAAGCTTCTAGTTTCTGTCTGTAAGATCAGGAGTTGATGTTTGTACCATGACAAACCTCCAGCTTCACAGACAGAATATCTCTATATGGGCTGGTGGTCATACAGCTGTTTGCATGATGACTTAACTGTTCTGGTACAACTTCAGCTTCGATCAATATGGCAGGTGTCCAATATTCGACAGATACAGTTTACATACAGCAACATGGCTGATGACTCAGGTGTGTGTCACTCAGTCAGACTCTACATACAGCAACATCTAGAGGTCATTTATCATTTGACCGAGTGAGTGAGTTCGGTTAATACCTCTTTGGCCAGTATTTTCGATGAATTTGAGTGTCAGCCTACTTTAGACATTTCAAACTGATGCAGATGAGGCTTACTACATCTGGAAAACCACTCACATGTGCTGACAAACAAGGTGTTGTACGGTAAATCTGGAAGTGTTGCATCCTCGCCTTTCCATCACTGGATTACTTTGGCATCAGTTTTATACAGATTTTTAGAGCCTCCGACATTTACCACATGTGAACTCAACAGTGATAGTTCATATAACAACACTAAAATCAATAACAAACAAGTGTTTGCCACTGATATGGCAATGTCCCCCGCCGCTAAAGAATGGAATATCTATATTTACTACTTTTTATTTTTTGGTCACAAACAAGATGCCTGAAATGACTGGTGTCTGCATAATCACCCAATGTAGGCTGTCAACATACTTGAAAACATTGGGTGCAATGTTTTATGAGATATCGCGTCTAAAATGCGGTCAAAGTGTCGTGGTGACCTTGAAGATAAGGTCCAGGTCACCCAAATAAACTGGTGCCTGTGTAATACCCCAATGAATGCTGTCACTAAATTTGAAGACATTGGGTACAACAGTCCAGGAGATATCGCGTTAGCAAGAGTTAAAAGTGTGCAAAGTGTCGTGGTGACAAAGTGTCGATAAGGTTGAAGATAACCCAAATAAACTGGTGTCTGCATAATCCCCAAATGTAGGCTGTCACCAAATCTGAAGAGTTAAAAGTGTGCATGTCGGGTACCTTGAACAGTTCATGGTGTCTGCATAATCCCCAATGTAGGCTGTCACCAAATCTGAAGACATTGGGTACAACAGTTCATGACGTGTCGCGTTAAGAAGAGTCTAAAAAGTGTTCAAAGTGTCATGGTGACCTTGAAGATAAGATCAAGGTCACCCAAATAAACTGTCGTCTGCGTAATCCCCTAATGTAGGCGGTCACCAAATTTGAAGATATTGGATACTACAGTGCATGAGATATCACGTTAACAACAGTTTGAAAAGTGGTCAAAGTGTCGTGGTGTCCTTGAAAATAAGGTCAAGGTCACCCAAATCAACTGGTGTCTGCGTAATGCCCTAATGCAGGCTGTCACCAAATTTCAAGACATTCGGTACAACAGTTCATGTGATATCGTGCTAACAAGAGTTTGAAAAGTTGTCAAAGTGCTGTGGTGACCTTGAAAATAAGGTCAAGGTCACCCAAATCGACTGGCGTCTGGGTAATCCCCCAATGTAGGCTGTCACCAAATTTGAAGACATTGGGTACAACAGTTCATGAGATATCGCGTTAACAAGAATTGGGACGTACGTTCAGACGTACAGACGCCGCTGAATACATAGTCCCCCGTTCTGCATTGAGGCGGGGGACAAAAGTACTAACATGTTCTGACACGTAGGCACAAAAGTTTGATATTGATGGCTGTTATTGAACTCATAAGACAGAAACAGTTTTGTTTGTTAACAAGTCTACTGTAAGGATCAAAACACATATAAAGACATGGCAGTATGGCCTGTATAAACATGAACACTGCTGGGACAGCTGCTGGGAGACCCAACAGTACCTCGATTTGAAATTGAAAGTCACGTTTTAAATAGCACATACGAAGACTACATTCTCAGGGTATTTTATAACACTTCCTTAAAAAACTCTTGTTTTCTCCGTGTAAAATCCACACATAACCCGCTCTGGATTATAACCCGCACTGCCACATAGCCCGCAGTTTTAGAGGGAAAAAGATGCGGGTAATAGTGCAGAAAATACGGTAGTCAAAACTTGAAAAAACCTGGTCACTGGGACAGTGCACTCAGTAAATCTGAGTGTGAGACACACACATGTTACACATTACACATAGGTGTGTGTGAGAGAGAGACATACTTGTGTGTAGTGTGGTGTGGGAGTAGGTGTGTGTGTCTCAATATGTGACATGCTTATGTGTAGTGTGTGTGTGTGTGTGTGTGTGTGTGTGTGTGTGAGAGAGACATGCTTGTGTGTGATGTGTCGATATGTGACATGCTTGTGTGTAGTGTGTGTGGGACATGTTTGTGTGTAACACGTGTCAATGTGTGACATCTTTCTGTAAAGTGTGTAGTGTGTGTGAGATGTTAGTGTGCAATGTGTGTCAATGTGTGACATGATTGTGGATAGTTTATGTGACATGTTTCTGAATAGCATGTGTCAATGTGTGACATGTTTGTGTATAGTGTGTGTGAAACATGTTTGTGTGCAATGTAAATCTATGTGTGACATGAGTATGTATAGTCTGTGACATGTTTGTGTTTAATATGTGTCAATGTATGACATGTTTGGGTATAGTGTGTGTAGTGTGAGAAACATGTTTGTGTGCAACATGTGTCAATGTGTGACATGTTTGAGTATAGTGTGTGTGAAACATGTTTGTGTGCAATGTAAATCTATGTGTGACATGAGTATGTATAGTCTGTGACATGTTTGTGTTTAATATGTGTCAATGTATGACATGTTTGGGTATAGTGTGTGTAGTGTGAGAAACATGTTTGTGTGCAACATGTGTCAATGTGTGACATGTTTGAGTATAGTGTGTGTGAAACATGTTTGTGTGCAATGTGTGTCTAAGTGTGACATGAGTATGTATAGTATGTGACATGTTTGTGTTTAATGTGTCAATGTGTGACATGTTTGTGTATAATGTGTGTAGTGTGTGAGAAACATGTTTGTGTGCAACATGTGTCAATGTGTGACATGTTGGTGTCAAACGTGTGTCAATGTGTGACATGTTTGTGCATGGTGTGTGTATAGTGTGTGAGACCTGTTTGTGTGTAACACATGTCAATGTGTGACATGTATGTGTATAGTTTAGTTTGTGAGACGTTTTTGTGCAATGTGTGTCAATGTGCGAAATGTGTGTCAATGTGTGAAATGTTTGTGTGTAGTGTGTGAGACATGTTTCTGAGTAACATGTCAATGTGTGACATACTTGTGTATGGTGTGTGTCAGACATGTTTGTGTGTAATGCATTTCAATGTGACATGATTGTGTGTAGTGTGTGAGACATGCTTTTGTGTAATGTGAGTCAATGTGTGACATACTTGTGTGTAGTGTGTGAGATGTTTGCTGTAATGCATGTCAATGTGTGACAAGTTTATGTATAGTGTGTGAGACCTGTATGTGTGTAACACATGTCAATGTGTGACATACTTGTGCATGGTGTGTCTGTTGCATGCTTGTGTCTAACATGTGTCAATGCGACCTGTTTGTGTGTAGTGTGAGACATACTTGTGTGTAATGCGTGTCAATGAGTGACATGATTGTGTAGTGTGTGTGACACGCTTGTATGTAATGTGTGTCGATGTGTGACATGTCTCTGTGGAATGTGTGTTTATGTGTGACATGTTTCTATGTAATGTGTATTCCCACGCATGTAAAGTGTGTCACTGTGTAAGACACATATGTATATTGTTTCCCTGCATGAGATGTGTGTAATGTGTGTAAATGTGTGAGATTTGTATGAAATTTACTAAGTGTGTAAAACACTTGCACTTGATATGTGTCCCTGTGTAAGATATATGGGAGATACTTGTGTCAAATGTGTGTACGTGTCCCTGTGTAAGATATATGGGAGATACTTGTGTCTAATGTGTGTACATGTGACCCTGTGTAAGATATATGGGAGATACTTGTGTCAAATGTGTGTAAGTGTCCCTGTGTAAGATATATGGGAGATTATTTGTGTCTAATGTGTGTACATATGTCCCTGTGTAAGATATATGGGAGATACTTGTGTCTAATGTGTGTACATGTGTGAGACACGTGTGTATTGTGAGGCCTTCAGCTGTGTCAATATAGTATGTAATAGTTAGTTATATGGCATTGTTTATCAGGCAGACACTGAACTGTCCATCTTGCATGCTTGGTTGTACACAACTTCATTCCTCTCATCATCAGTCAAAGAAACTGTTTACATTGGTGGGCATAATGATCAGACAAAGAGTGAGTGAGTGAGTGAGTGAGTGAGTGAGTGACGTTTTACACCGCTCTTGGCAATATTCAAGCATTATCATGGCTGGGGACACCAGAAATGAGCTTCACACATAGTACCCATGTGGGGAATTGAACCCGGGTCTTCAGCGTGGCGAGTGGACGCTTCAACCACTAGGCTACCCCACCACCCCGATTAAACAAAGAAAGAAGTGGTTAATTATAGTGTTAGTACTGTATATACCATAGCCAAAATGAGTATGATACTTGTCATAATTCAGACAAACATTAGCCACACTGTACTACCAGCCTAACTACTCATTACAGATAAGGATAGGCAGCACCTGCATCAGGTGTCAGGGAAACATGGTTGAAGAGGTTGTGACAGTTATCAGGTATTCTTTCAGAGTACCAAACCTAAATAGCTTTACCCATTACAAAATGTCTAATGTTTTTAAAAGATTCAGAAAACATTTAAATTAAATACTGTTTTTGTCAAAGTTCTATTCTATTAAACAGTTTCTTCCTCCTCAAAATGATCAAAATGATTTGTCTAATTCTTAGGAAAATTGTTTTAATGTTACTGTTTATTTTTCAGCCACCTCTTTAGCCGTTTGCAAGGTATTCAGACTACTACTTATGTCCCACAAAGACAAGGTGTTAACTGAAAACTTCAATACAGATTCCAGAAGCATTAGTTTCACACAAGCATAGCATTATAGTCTGGTAGCAGAAACCACCAGGTACAAGCAGGCCAACTTACTCTTCAACCTCCTCAATACATGAGGAAAAAGGTCTGAAATAAACAGTGAATGACACGTCAACTCCATTGGTTTCACAATCAGTGATAAAGTAGCATTCAGTGAAATGTGTCCGTGTTATACATCCAAGGTTAAATATTCAGGGCTTACCGAGGTCCAATTAGACAGGCAAACCACAAAGATCCCAATGAAAACTCCCCACCCAGGGATGGAAATAACCCATTGCCCGACGTCCGAGTCCAGTGTTTTTTCTGTCAGGTAAGCACATTTGTATATCACGCTGTACTGGTGTCCAGTTGACATTCCAATGTTAATTATGTTGTTTGTTTGAAAAAATCACCAAGAAAATCGGCCGGTAGAGCGAAAAAATGATCAGGGCAAGCGATTTTACATGTGCCACTGTACCGGAGTACACTAGCACTAACTAAAGTAATTTCCACCCCTGCCACCCTTTGTAACATATGTTATATTTGGGATTACATGTTCCAAGCACAAATTCTAGATCTTAAAGCCGTGGAAGCTGAGTGGGTTAGATTGTTAAGTTTGTGTGCTGGCAATGAGGTGCCTGACTCTGAGAGTGTGGGTTCGGACCTCGGATGGGACTCAACCCAACAAAAGTACTAGAATGTTTACTTAACTGAGAAAGTATAATCACAAATATAACATGTTACCTATGACAGTTTCTAAAGTGCATTGTGTATTCATCCTCACACCTTAATTAACAACACATGTGTACAAGGTGCAAAGGTGTACGATAATGTTGGCATCTCCATGCTTTGGTTTGGTTGCTGCTTACTTCGAGCTATATGCCAGCGGTCTGTAAATAATCAGCTCTTGATCAGACAATCCAGTAATCAACAGCATGAATATCAATCTGCACAATTGGGATGTGATGACACATGTCAAACAAGTCAGCAAGCCTGACCACCCAATCCTGTTAGTCGCCTCTTACAACAAGCATGGGTTCCTGAAGACCAATTCTAAGCTGGATCTTCACGGGTCCATCTGCATGAACTGTGGTCAATATTGCTGCTGTCCATATCCTTATGACCTTGAAATTAGGTGAAATGGGCTCAAATGTCGAGGATATTGCCTGATGAAGTGATGTTCATGTTGATGTGTGAGTGTGTGGGGCTACTTGACAGGCGTACCTCATCCACAATATTTAACAGACTTTGAGCCAAGCAGCTCTTCTTATTATTTTTTTCAGTGCTGAGTGTCAGTTAGGAAAACAGTCATTGTTATTTTTTTATAATCTTTCTGGCCAGATGATTGTACCAGTGACCTTCCACTCTCAAGGCAACTGTTCTGTTTAACACCTCACTCAGCAATATTCCAGCTGCACAGCTGAGGTCTGACAATCCAGTGATTGACATCATGAACATTGATCTGGACAGGTAGGCTATGACTTGCACAGAGATGCCAACCCTTGTTTAGCCCAATTAGTATTTTGGCAAAAAACTGATGCAATAATTAGTGCTTTTGGGCTAAAATTACTATTAACTTTCCCAAAGGGTTTTCATATCTAATAAAAAATATATAGATATTCTAAGAGCTTGTTATTAACAGTGTACTCGCCTAACTCAGTATTAAGTATCCACCTACAGCTTGATACTGAATAAAATGTGGCTGAAATTGATTGTGTATGGTATGTATGCTATTTGATAATTTAATTTAATGTATTTTATTAAAAGATCATATATTTTTACTGCTATCATACTAGCGTATGTTGTGTTGGGTTTTCTCGCAACAAATACGATAAAATGGTATGGGTTGGCATCTCTGCATGCATCAACCAATTCAGTAAGTCATGACTTCCCAACCCTGTTAGTCGCCTCTTAAGGTTGCTGAAGACCAATACTAACAAAGATATTGTGGGTTTTATTCCCCTCTGAGCCAAACAACTCACCATAACCTGTATACTGTGGTTTCTCTTGCTGAGGTAGAGCAGACGACAATGTAGATGGATCAACTAAAGTGGAATCTGATTGGCTGCCACTGTTGTCATTTGCAATAGCATTAGTAAACACCATTGGATGGTTATTAGTTCCATGTTTGATGCCACTCATATCTGACCTTGACCTTTTGTGACCTAGTTTGGATGAATCCTTTTTACTCCTCTTGTCATCATAGTTATTGGAAGTTGTTTTTCCACTTTTTGTGTGTCCACCTCTCCGGCTTGGAATGTAAATATCACTGAGTGTTTGGCTGTTGCCATTGACGACTGGTTTCACAATGTCATCACCATGTGATTTGCAACGCCGAGTCACGGTCTTCTCAAAGCCATCCATGGTATCGTACATCGGCAATGTTCTACTATCAAAGAACACAGGCGACATGAGTGATCCTCTGTTCATTGGGAAGTCAACATTTAACAGCGGATCGCTGTGTATTCTGTCATAAAAGCTGAATCCGGGTGTTGGGGGCGTTGAAGACAAGGGAGGTGACTCTGCGCCTGATTTCCTTAGCACAGAACGTAAAGCCTCTTTGGCCATTAACCTTGTATCATCAGGACTGGAACCTGGAAGAAACAGATCATTGCATCAAAATCTAGTACAAAATATACATGAAACTTATTATGGCAGAATACTTTTGCAAAAAGACATATAGTTCAATATCATTTATACAGGGATGAGAATGTGTATGAGTGAAACAAGAAGAAAATGAGCTGGGATCTTGGGGTCCGCAGATCCAAGAATGACCCCAGCACGATCATATCCGCGGAAAATTCTCATCCCTGTTTATATCAAGGAAATCATATTAACCTGTCACAATACAATGCAATGTCTCTTCTTGTTTCAGGTGCATATGGATACCTGTTCAATAAAGAGGTCTCTTAGTCTTACTTATAATACCACTCCAACCAAATATTAGGGGCTTTGTGCTGGTCTTGTGGTTAAAGAATGCTAAAGCTCTGAGTTCAATTCCCCTTTGCAGTACAATAGACATAAATGTTTGGGCCATCAAACAATCACTAGCCATGTCACAAACAATCACTAGACTTGTCACAAACAATCACTAGACTTGTCACAAGCTAACTCTGTCATAATCACTAGCCATGGGCCATAAAACAATCACTAACCATGGGGCGTCAAACAATTACTAGAACCATCACAAACAATTACTACCCCTGTCACAATCACACGCTATGGACCTGGTAATTACTAGACTTGTCACAGTGAGTGAGTGAGTTAGCTTTACACTGCTTTTAGCAATATTCCAACAATACCACGGCAGGGGACACCAGAAATGGGCTTCACACATTGTACCCATGTGGGGAATCGAGCCTGAGTCTTCAGTGTGATGAACAAACGCTTTAACCACTAGGCTACCCCACCGCCCACAAACAGTCAGTAACCATGGGATATCAAGGAATTACTCGCCCTATCACAAACAATCTCCAGCCCTGTATCACATCAGTATCACCCATCAGTTCAACACAGAATCCTCATCCCACAGCCATTAAAAAACCCAATCAAATCATCATATACCCTCAACCCCACACATCGTCACAATGACTGCAGGCAATACCCAGTAACATCTCACCACAACACTGGGCAGTCCGGTTCCTCAGACATCCATCAGTACCATTCCCAGTGTGTCTTGTTTAACACAACAAACACCTGGTTCAAACAATATGGTTAATGAAAGAAGAGACAATTTCTCTGGTGCAAGAATTGTCACCAGGACTATTGCTCCCTGGCTCATGTTTCCTCAGTGGCGACAGATGGTCGTAGTCCTTGATGAATATTACTCTCACAATACACCATTATGTACAGTCAATAAAACTGCTAGTGTACCATGAAACGTCGGCTCTAAACAGGACATGACTTCGTTGACAATTAGTTTTTGGTTCATATGAGGTAGTGATATGTAATTGTGACATAAATTACTTGTCTTGCAATCCTGACAAAACAATCAAACCAGGATTTTGATTTTGTACTACAAGGTTGGAAACTTTCCTCAATGTAATGCAATTGACAGGTTGGAGAATTTCCTCAAATAGATCCAATTGAAATTTTCCTGGCAGGTTCATTTACAGGACATGCATTGTGTAGAGTGGTTGAGTGAGTGAAAGAGTGGTTGAGAGAGTGGTTGTGTGGTTGAGTGGTTGAGTGAGTGGTTGAGTGGTTGAGTGAGTGGTTGAGTGGTTGAGTGAGTGGTTGAGTGGTTGAGTGAGTGAGTGAGTGAGTGAGTGAGTGAGAGTGAGTGCAGGTTCATTGACAGGTCATGCACTATGTAAAGAGTGTGGGTGGGTGGTTGAGTGAGTGAGTGGTTGAGTGAGTGAGTGAGTGAGTGACCAGGTCTATTCAGCATAAGCAAATCACTAACCACAAGGCCACAAGGACCTCGTTACAATTCTTCTTACACAATTAAGATATGGTATCCCTGTATTACGCAATTTTCATTCTTATATAACGATTCTCATTATGAAAAGCCAAGAATCGTACTGCAATGTCTATTTCTGCATGCACGTGGGTTGGATGAGCAAGTTTTACTGTCACATCAGCTTGCAGTGTGTGGGTGAAAAAATAATCTATACTACGGTTGACTGAGCAGATAGTGAGGGTTGAACACACTCGCTGTCCAACTGTAATTGAATCTTTGAATCTAGCAAAGCACTTAATGCTGCAGTCGGCAATATGCCAGCTATATCATGGACAAGCCAATGACTGATATCATGAGTGGGGTATAATAACACCATTCACCAGATTCACTTAATCGCCTCAGTTGACCAGCAGACACTTTGGGGGAGCTATTCTAACCTGGAAGTGTTCACTAATAAGTAAAATTAGCCCAAATACAGAAAGCTGGTGAATCACAATTACCTATATGTATGGGGACAGCATGTTCATCTGAGGTGCTCAACACGCTTTCCTTCCCAGGGGAAGCAAAGGGAGAGGCTAGACCCAGAACGCTGTTCCTGTCTCTGTTCTTCATCTCGTCAGTGACAGCAGCTTGGTTGATGGGCAAGGAGGCACTACGTGTGTGAAATCTTGTGCGATGTCTTGCGCTCAACTGAAACAGAATATGTATTAAAGTCTCATATAATGTATAAGAGTAATCGGCAACGAATCTACAGTCTGGGCTGCCATAGATAGGTTCAGATCATCAGGAACATTCATTACTCCACATTGCTTAACTTGATCAGAAGTAGATTTTATCATTAGCAAAGATCCAGAATAATAATTCTACTGAAAACATATTGAAATCTAGTTAGTGATGCAATCTGTGTGGACAGTGGTGCAGGTATATGCACATAATGCATTTGTAGAGTGCCTAATAATATCCACCCCATAGAGGCTCAGTGGCACTAAGGACAACTTATGTGCAAAACATAGCATTACTATATTATCCTGGTTAACCCACTGCCTAGGTGCTAGAAAGCTAAAGAGTCATAAGACCATCTTATCCCACTGGGTACTTACTTATTCACAGAGGCAATTTTGAACAAACTCACTTGTATAAGGTGAGATCAAATGTTTCACATGTGCTTAGTTGTGGGGCAGCGCTAGGACTGAAGTCTTAGCAGAAACTCTCAGGAGTCAAGCTGCCAAACAGTCACCCATTCATGGACTGGTGCATGACTTTAGGCTCTTTACGAAGTTGGATCGTCAAGATTGTTTAAAAGGTTCAAGGCACTTTACCATTTGGCATCACGAAGAGTGGTTGCAAGGTTCAAGGCACTTTACCATTTGGCATCACCAAGAGCGGTTGCAAGGTTCAAGGCACTTTACCATTTGGCATCACGAAGAGCGGTTGCAAGGTTCAAGGCACTTTACCATTTGGCATCACGAAGAGTGATTGCAAGGTTCAAGGCACTTTACCATTTGGCATCACGAAGAGTGGTTGCATGGTTCAAGGCACTTTACCATTTGGCATCACGAAGAGTGGTTGCAAGGTTCAAGGCACTTTACCATTTGGCATCACCAACAGTGCCCGAAGAGTGGTTGCATGGTTCAAGGCACTTTACCATTTGGCATCACGAAGAGTGGTTGCAAGGTTCAAGGCACTTTACCATTTGGCATCACCAAGAGCGGTTGCAAGGTTCAAGGCACTTTACCATTTGGCATCACGAAGAGTGATTGCAAGGTTCAAGGCACTTTACCATTTGGCATCACGAAGAGTGGTTGCATGGTTCAAGGCACTTTACCATTTGGCATCACGAAGAGTGGTTGCAAGGTTCAAGGCACTTTACCATTTGGCATCACGAAGAGTGGTTGCATGGTTCAAGGCACTTTACCATTTGGCATCACGAAGAGTGGTTGCAAGGTTCAAGGCACTTTACCATTTGGCATCACGAAGAGTGGTTGCAAGGTTCAAGGCACTTTACCATTTGGCATCACGAAGAGTGGTTGCATGGTTCAAGGCACTTTACCACTGGGCAATTTACCATTGGGGAGCACCAAAAGTTGTTGCAAGGGCCAGGAGAAATGCAACATGTTATATTTGGGACTACACTTTCTCAGTAAAGAACGGATTCCCGTACTTTATTGTTTCAGTCCTATCCTGATTTAAAACTCTCAAAATCAGGCACCTGATTGCCAGCACACAAACTCAGCGATCTGACCCATTCAGCCACTGCAGCTTCAACAAACAGAAGTTTGACAAGTGGTAGTCTAGATCACATACTTTGTGTACACCTCTTCATGTTTCTCTTCATCACACAAGCTTCTAAATGCCACTTACAGAAACTCTTTGTGTACCATTTGGGAAGCAAACCAGTTTACACAGCATTGTGTGTGAACAACTACCTAACTAGGCTAGCCTCCTCTAACTTGACTGCCATCAGAGTATGTTAGTGGTGAAGTGCTGACTTGTAATGAATACTGCTGGAAGAGCCCCAAACCCTTCAATGAAGGACACAGAAGAATGAACACCTACCAGGCTGGGCTCTATCTCAGCGAGGAGTGCCACCTTATTGAGCTCCACTGCCTTAAGACAGATGATGGTGGCTTGGAAGTAGGCAGGGGAACACAGAAAGGCATCAGCTGAAACAGAAACACAAAACATTAGCTGAAACCTACATTACATGTTAGTTATGATACACACTAAACACCAGCTGAAATATACACTACATGCCAGCTGGAAATACATTAAACATCAGCTGAAATATACATAATGCATCGGCTGTAACACGCACTAAACTTCAGCTGTAACACTCACTAAACTTCAGCTGTAACACACACTTAACATCAGCTGTAACACTCACTAAACTTCAGCTGTAATGTAACACTCACTAAACTTCAGCTGTAACACTCACTAAACTTCAGCTGTAACACACACTTAACATCAGCTGTAACACTCACTAAACTTCAGCTGTAATGTAACACTCACTAAACTTCAGCTGTAACACTCACTAAACTTCAGCTGTAACACACACTAAACATCAGCTGTAACACTCACTAAACATCAGCTGTAACACTCACTAAACATCAGCTGTAACACACTAAACATCAGCTGTAATGCACCCTAAACATCAGCTGTAACACACACTAAACTCCAGCTGTAACACTCACTAAACTTCAGCTGTAACACTCACTAAACATCAGTTGTAACACACACAAAACATAAGCTGTAACGCACACTAACCATCAGCTGTAACACACCCTAAACTTCAGCTGTGACACTCACTAAACTTCAGCTGTAACACACCCTAAACATCAGCTGTAATGCACCCTAAACATCAGCTGTAACACACACTAAACATCAGCTGTAACACACTAAACGTCAGCTGACACACACAAACTAAACATCAACAGACACAACCACTTCAATGTCAGTTGTTCTTGCTCATGCTATGTCATGTGAAATTCAATCTCCATAGATTCTATCAACATGTAGGAAACAAAGATCGGATGGAAATGAACTAAACAAATCAACACATTAAACTGATAACAGTATAAATCAGCTTACTACAGTGAACATAAAATGCCAACACCCATGAATTACCAGTCCCATTTAGTACGTCGATCAATCAGCCATGAACATCTAAAGCATAGAGACACTGTTTCAAACAGGTTTCATTGCAGGTAACATGAAATGAAGTAAGCAGACATTTTGTCTTATTTAACTATATGCAAAACAGTTTCAGTTAAGCTCATCAGTAAAACTTACACAAACCGGCCTTGCCACCACACAGAAACGTGTGCTGTTCCAAATCTCCAGGGTCTAGATTTTCAAAGCTCTCTTAACGCTAAGATAGTCATAAGTGATCTATATAAACATTAACTAACGACTATCTTAGCGATAAGAGAGTTTCGAAAATCTAGACCCAGTTTGTTAATGACAAGAGGATTTTAAGGTACTTCAATCAATCTGTGTGTTGGATAAAGGGAACAAACCTCTAACAACACTGACAAGCTCAGGAAGATTTTATGGTTCCTCCATAGATTTCATCACATGTGTATTGTCTATGATATGAAATCCTCACTGGGACAGAAAAAGGCACTGAGACTTCTCCAACAGTAGTGTTTTTAACAACTCAGCTGATTCTACCAACTGGGTGATAGTGAGTGAGTGAGTGAGTGAGAAATGTTATGATTAGAACTACACTAAGTTAGGTACAAACAGGGTACCTCTCTGTGATTAGGTGCCTCACTTTGAGAGTGGCTTAAAATCCCCTATGGGACCCCAAATACTCCTAGAATTTGTACTTTACTAAGAAAGTGTCCTCCCAGATATAACAGTCATTACATGTGACCACTCTCTGACAAGCATTGTATGTTTACCTGTCAGTCATGGGAGGTGTGCCAACTTGTACACATACTATGTGATCTCATCAAGGTGGCTGAAGTCCCTTTTGTGGCGGCCTCACTGGCTGAGTGGTTTAGATGCTGACTTTGTATGTTGGCGATTAGGTGCTTCATCCAGAGAGTTTCGGTACAAATCCTAGATGGGACTCAAACCCCGAAAGCACTAGATTTTGTACTAAGAACACCTCCAAATGAACAAACTGTTACACTGACCTCTTGTTTAGTTAAAGGCATTGCGTGAATGAATGTAATTTTACCAAGCTTTGAACAATATTCCAGAAATATCAAGATGGGGAAAACCAGGAATGAGCTTCACACGTTCGTATGAAGGGAATAGAACCAGGGTCTTCAACATGACAAACACTTGCACCACCGGCTACACCACTGCTACCCTATCTCTCTAACTGTGTATGAAGTAAATGACACTGTAACCTAATGTCTGGACTGAGTTTACCATCTGTATGGATAAAGTCTTTACCATTTCAACAAGCATCAGTGTATCACCATCTTAACTTTTGACAACTGTTATAGTAGCACCATATTCACTCATGTTATATCAGCCTTCTGAACACATTTAGCGAGATGATCTATATAGCAGACAGGCCTGTGAAGAATACGATTTGGGTCAGGCAAACCAGTGAGTGATATTATGAACACTAAAATATCCATTAGGGTATGATAACACATTATCTTACCTTCATGTAAAATACTTTAATTTCATTGGTCAATGACGCTTTAAGAAATTTCCATGTCACCCATCCCTGACACTGCTACGAAATTGTGTACATCAGACCGTATTACCCTCGAGGGAAGCATACAACTTATATTTAGTCAAATCTGAGTCTGTGCAGCAGATCATAAAATTGGAATATTTTCACTGAAAATTGGCCAATGGTATCCAATGCTGGTGTATAACATGACGCACCAGTGTTAGTTATTTCACCAACTGATTACATCAGTGGTATTCTGGTAACAGTATGACAAATCATGGCTGACATGACACAAGTAAGGAGACAATACAAGAACACTTGGCTGGGGAAGTACCAGAAACTTCCCTAGTCTTATCAGAGCAAACAGGAATAGTATTAGTAACTTTAACAGATCCACTTAGTATTGAAAATACACATTCATCATGATGTTAAACACATTCAGGAAGTGACGAGGACTAGGTGTTGAAATCTGTGTGGAAATGACATTCAGACGAGTTTAACGGTGAAATATGAGGATGCAGACCGTAATTGGAGGAAACATCTTGCATGTGAGTGAGTTGCAGAAACAGAACTAGTAATGTAAATTTACTGTTGTAATTTATTGCAACAATCCATGTACTGCAATATGTTCAACAATAGATTACATACATTCTGTCATCTGTAATTTGTTATGAACCTGAATATATTCGACTTTCCATGCACACTTTTGATATTTTTGTCTGCCATTTTGCTAAATGTTACTGTAATACTGCACACCTCCCGACAGAACAGGGGCGGTGGGGTAGCCTAGTGGTTAAAGCGTGAGCTCGTCACGCCAAAGACCCGGGTTCGATTCCCTACATGGGTACAATATGTGAAGCCTATTTCTGGTATGCTCCACCATGATGTTGCTGGAATATTGCTAAAAGCGGTGTAAAACTAAACTCACTCACTCTAGACAGAACCTTTAACACCCTATTCACTCACCCACTTGTCAGAACAGCTCAGCGTTTAAGGTTCTGCGTAAAATATTCAGAAACAGCTTTTGACATCTGAAAGTTGACATAAGTTACATAACAAACTCACACAAATCAAATTACTAGCTGGGGCTGCCAATCAGCTGCGGACAAGTCCCCCTTTAAATATCATGATCTGTAACTCTGGGATTTCTCAATTAAAAGAACCAACCACACATTTACACTTAGCAGTTTGATGAGAACAGATCAGTTCACAGCACACACACTCAAATCAGCTGAAATTCGAAAATACTATTTATCTATTTCTCTCACAATCGACAGGATAACAATTATTTATGCTTAACTGATTGGAAAGAAACTAACAAATGTATATAAAGTGAACTACATTTATTACAACATGCTAAAAACTGATGGATATAACGTGTGTTTGGTCTAACATATGTTCTATTTGGGATTACACTTTCTCAGTAAAGTACAGATTCTAGTACTTTTTGGGGGTTGAGTCCCATCCAGGATTCGAACCCACCCCCTTAGAGTCAGGCACCTAATCGCCAGCACACAAAGTCTGATGCCTAGACCGCTCAGCCACCACGGCTTCCACTAAAATGGAAGTCGGACAACTGGTAGTCTAGACTGCGGACTTTGTGTACCCCACTGATAAGTGTTAATTGGCACGGCTCCCACGGCCGAAAGCTATGAAATACACAATGCCATTTAGAAAGTGGTCAAATGTAACATATGCTCTATTTGAGATTACACTTTCTCAGTACAGTACAGATTCTAGTACTTTTTGGGGGGGTTGAGTCCCAACCAGGATTCGAACCCACTGGTGGAAGCCGCGGTGGCTGAGCGGTCTAGGCATCTGACTTTGTGTGCTGGCGATTAGGTGCCTGACTCTGAGGGTGTGTGTTCGAATCCCGGATGGGACTCAACCAGAAAAAAGTACTAGAATCACAGGTGGAAGTAGGTTTTACGTCGCGCTTAAAAATATTTTGCTCATATGACGACGTGCATGTGTGTGTATGTGTATGTGCGACTGCTTGTACTAGTCCAGACGGAAACTGGTTTTATAGTGCTAGCCCACTGAGATACCATGCCACAGTGAAGCATGAATATCCCACCCAGACACATTATACTGACTCTGAGTCGACCAGTCCTTGTTGTACCCATTAATGCCGAGCGCCAGGCAGGGACCAACAAGTACCATATTTTAACGTCTTTTTGGTATGATGCGGTCGGGGATCGAACCCCCGACCATCTGCTCTCCGGGCGGACGCTCTAACCACTACACCACTGAGGCGGGGGGCACAGAGTGACGATAGTGTATGAAGTGTGTGACGCCCCCAACAGGCAGTTTGATCTTCAGTGTTATAAACACAGACCGACTGAAGTCAGCAGTATCAAGCTGACTCAAGCCAGCAGCTCAGAAGGAGAAACTGTCACTAGAACAATGCATGACACAACCTCTTGACTCATGTCCATTCTCAGGGTACACAAAGGTCATGTCTTGTTGGAGTGGGGCCAGCTGACCCAGTTACACAGACCACATGATGCAAGCACAGTTTTTAAA